ATCTTTTTGCATAAGTTCTGATCGATAAATCAACGGTTCCCTTAAGACGCTCCTGGTTTCTTCCAATATTTTCGCTGATTTCATCAGCTCAAACCATCGAAATCCGCGAAAGGTTGTTTTACTATTTTGCACTTTCAATAAGTGTACTGCATATTACAGATCAAATGTCCTGACAGACCCTTCCCCTCCTTTTAAAACTAGAATTACATTTATGAAATATATTTTGGTTGAAAGTGCTTCATCTTATTCTGGTTTATATAAGATTGTCTCTGTTGTACGATTAGTATTCATGGTTCAACCTGAGAAGGAATTAACCTCTCAACACAGGAACTCGAGTTTCACACAGATAAAACAGGAATAAGGTTTACAATGCTATATTTGTCCCTTTTCTGGTTTGTCTCCGCAAAACGTCTCATGAACTGATTTTTAAAAAACCAAACCTGGTCTCCCCGGACTTTTTATTCGGTTTCTTCTATGTATTTAAATTCCATCTCATGTTGGTCTATAATTCAAACAATCTTTAAACTTACGGCCAGGTGTAGCTATACTTTTCTTTTAAAACGAAAAAAATGATGCTTAATAGGTCAAATTGTGTTCGAAAATCATAATTCTCCATGGGTATAAGGTCCATACTGTTAAATCCGCGGCCATTACTTTGATGGTTAATGGTTATGATTCAAATGGTCTCTTTCAAAAGATATATTTGAAAATCCCAAAAAAAGAGAGACAGTTGAACTAGGTCAGATTCACACGATCAAATTTGAACCACCTTATTCAGTGGTATGTACATATGTTTATCTCAAATTAAAGTAAAGAAAAAACTGTGATTTTCTAATTCTTAAAATCTTTGCAATCCAATGTTGTAGATTTTAAATATTTAGTAACTTCATAGAAAAGGATTTTTGCCCCCCCCCCCCCATACCCTTCGGAGCGTTCGGCCCAGAAATTGCTTAATTCCACTTTTGTTAATGGAGTGTTTCAGGTTCATTGCACTATTTGCTTAAGATTTTAGATGTTTCTCCTAGGATATCATCATTTTTTTAAATATCAAATGTTTACAATTTCAGGTTACAAAGATATAGGGTTTAGAAAGTATAAGTGTGTGGAAAAGACTTATTTAATAACTTTCACATTGGATTGAAATCTGGTAAGGTTGCAATCATAACTTCTCTTATTAAAGAGCTATTGCGAAATAATGTTTTGATTTTCTATTTTGTAACCAAATGATACTCCGCTATTAGTGCGTACATTTAAAACGAGAGGTGCTACGAGGTCACAAAGTCGTAGCATTAATGTCGCAGAGAAGTTTGACCTTCTTCTGTCTCCTGAAGACCGATTCATCTCAGAGAATCTTCTCTTAATTAGACTTCAATAATTCATTCAGTTTTTAGTTTTACTATCTTCAAATATAGAATTCATCAAAATTAGACTTCAATAATTCATGCAGTTTTTACTATCTTCAAATATAGAATTCATCAAAATTAGACTTCAATAATTCATTCAGTTTTTACTATCTTCAAATATAGAATTCATCAAAATTAGACTTCAATAATTCATTCAGTTTTTACTATCTTCAAATTTGTGTTTAAATATAGAATTCATCAAAATTGAGCACTCAGTCTAATGAACCAAAAGTATCGAATTTTATGTTACAATACACTAAACAAATACTAAACAAATACTAAACAAATAATCAAATCATTAAAGAAAATTTGACAAATTTATGCAGAAAATACTGGTTTACATGTGAAGAAGGTGAAGAATATTTAAAGAAATTTTTAAAACTGTACAATGGTAAGATTCACAACGGTTTCCTGAAAACATTTGTCTGATAAAAATGAGTTTATATTAATTTATACAATAGATTTATATTATATGATATTATATATTATATAATGAATATTATATAATTAAAAAAAACGAATTCTGAAAGCGTATCCACCCCCAAAGTAGGAGTTTTGAACGTCGAATTTGCGCTCAAACTCAGGATTTACAGATCTTTAAAAAGTTTAATATGTCTCAAATAAATCCGAAAGAAGTTTTCCCCAACACTGCATACTCAGTTCAACTACCTTACATAGCCAGTCACTCCCTTTAATGTTAAGTTTCTTAATACTAAAATGTAAGGATGGTTTGACCTGAATAATCGGTCAACTTGGGATAGATACGGAGAAATTGCAGGACTGTTGTTTATATCTTTTTTTAACTTTTAATTGCTTTCCTAACAAACTGTGTCATGTGTGTTTTACTCATAATTTTAGAATATTAATTTAAATCATGAAAAGTCTAAAATATAAAAGTATAATTTTGAATATTATTGTACCGTGGACAATACAAACGTACATGGATTCAGCCAGCTAGGAAATATTGCATCAATTTTCAAGCAGGGTTGACTTTCAAGAGTCGTTGCTTTGGGCTTTTATTATACGTACCGCTTGCAGTTGTTTTTAACTTCAGTTTTTGAAGAGTAATTGGAAAAATTTACATAGATTTTTGCTGACTTTAAATCACAGTGAAAACCATCCCTGCTTTTAATCTTTTAATGCTGGTGTATCCTGTATAAAATATAATTTATTCTTTTCTTTCTTTCTTTATATTTAAAAACAGCATTGCTTTAAGAATTCCAAAATATTTCTTTTATATGAATAACACTTCAGGAAGTTTTTAAATAATAAGACATGAAAATTATAGAAAAAGTAATATTGACATGTTTTTGTTTCCGATAACTACTCAAAAAACCCCTTGGCTGATAAAAAGGAACTGAGTTTTTGTCCCAAACTCAAATTTACTTATCCCTTTATCTTTGCAAACTGGTAGTGTCAAGCTTTGATATTTCAAACTTAGATCATTTGATCTAAGAGCATTACATATAGTTTAAAATATTGAAGGTCTACTATGATTGGTTTCAAAGATATAGAGATTATAGAGATTAGAAAGTCAAAGTTTTAAGTTTAATTTTGATACTTACTTGATTTGAAATTTAACGTCTTGTGATATCATATTGTCATCTTTAAAAAAACAAAATTGTGGATCATTGCAAGACCTGTTTATTCTTAAATAAGTTGGGTATTAGTATTTTAATTGTCAATACACTCTGCATTACACCCGCTATTTATTCAGTCAGAGTACTGCAGATCACTGCAAACGCAATAAAAGCTTAATTTAATGTGAAAAAGGTGAATAAATATAATTCTAATTTGAACTGGGAACTTTTGAGCTGGGAACTTTTGAGCTGGGAACTTTTGAATGGTGGATATTGGGATTAATGCTTAATCCACTCTTTTTCTTAATCTCCAGATTAAATATTGCTTGTTGTCCTCATGAATTTAATCTCCAGATTAATTAACAGATCGGGATTTAGGGTATCTCATTCTAAAGTTTTCAGCTCAGTATAATCTAAAATAAGGATTTTTAGAAAAAAAATGATTTAGTTTTATGTTTTCGTGAATAAGTCTTTTCCAATAAATATAAATCAATCTTGATCCGGCGGAAATAGATTGTCCAATGAAAAGTAATCACCGGAAGTATTTATATTAAAGACTAATTCATGCTTTTATGGTTGAATTAAGTTGAATTAAGTTATTTTTATAATTCTTTGGGTGTTCTCAACTTGTCTGGCGAAAATATGACATATCACATAAATTATTAATGTCTGTTTCAAGTTTTTATGAGAATATATAGTGGATATGTTTTCTTAGGAGATATATTTTATAAAACTCCTGCAGTAAACCTTATTACTAGATTACAGAAAATATTTGATATTTTTATGATCAAAACTTTGTAAATCTTTTCCTAAAGTTTATCAGTATAATGAGAAATAAAGGAAACTAGAATATATAAACTATAATATATGAACTAGGATATACAAACTAGAATATATAAACTAGAATATATAAAAACTAGAATGTGTAAACTAGAATATATAAACTAGAATATACAAACTAGGATTACAAACTAGAATATATTAACTAAAATATATAAACTGGAATACATATAGTAAATATATAAACTAGAATATATAGACTAGAATATGTAAACTAGAATATATAAACTAGAATATGTAAACTAGAATATATAAACTAGAATATACAAACTAGAATATATAAACTAGAATATACAAACTAGAATATATAAACTAGAATATACAAACTAGAATATATAAACTAGAATATACAAACTAGAATATATAAACTAGAATATACAAACTAGAATATATAAACTAGAATATACAAACTAGAATATATAAACTAGAATATACAAACTAGAATATATAAACNAAATTAGAATATATATACTAGAATATGTAAACTAGAATATATAAACTAGAATATGTAAACTAGAATATATAAACTAGAATATATAAACTAGAATATGTAAATTAGAATATATAAACTAGAATATATAAACTAGAATAAATAAACTAGAATATATTAACTAGAATATGTAAACTGGAATATATAAACTAAAATATATAAACTATAATATGTAAATTAGAATATATATACTAGAATATGTAAACTAGAATATATAAACTAGAATATGTAAACTAGAATATATAAACTAGAATATATAAACTAGAATATGTGAACTGGAATATATAAACTAAAATATATAAACTATAATATAACTAGAATATGTAAACTGGAATATATAAACTAGAATATATAAACTAGAATATGTAAACTAGAATATATAAACTAGAATATATAAACTAGAATATATTAACTAGAATATGTAAACTGGAATATGTAAACTTGAATTAAAATCCCTAAATATAAAAAATAGTCCAATTAAAAAGTAGACAATAGCAAATACGAAAAATTGAATTTAATGGATGAATATGTTTTCTGTAGTTAAAACCAACTGGATTTTCGACCAGTCTAGTTTAGCGTGAGGAATGTCCTACCTCCATACTTAGAATTCAAGATGACAATACTAAGTCAAAAATGAAGCTTGGGTAACGAAGTCACATTTGGCCTATTTAATATTAAATTGTTTAGGTTATATCGCAGCTGTGGAAAGATACTGGAGTCCAGGCTGCGTTCTTGAGATCAAACGAATACAATCTCTCAGATTGTGCCAAGTAAGTTCTTGAGATCAAACGAATACAATCTCTCAGATTGTGCCAAGTAAGTTGAGATCAAACGAATACAATCTCTCAGATTGTGCCAAGTAAGTTCTTGAGATCAAACGAATACAATCTCTCAGATTGTGCCAAGTAAGTTCTTGAGATCAAACGAATACAATCTCTCAGATTGTGCAAAGTAAGTTCAAACGAATACAATCTCTCAGATTGTGCCAAGTAAGTTCAAACGAATACAATCTCTCAGATTGTGCCAAGTAAGCGAATACAATCTCTCAGATTGTGCCAAGTAAGCGAATACAATCTCTCAGATTGTGCCAAGTAAGTTCTTGAGATCAAACGAATACAATCTCTCAGATTGTACCAAGTAAGTTCAAACGAATACAATCTCTCAGATTGTGCCAAATAAGTTCAAACGAATACAATCTCTAAGATTGTGCCAAGTAAGCGAATACAATCTCTCAGATTGTGCCAAGTAAGTGAATGCAATCTCTCAGATTGTGCCAAGTAAGCGAATACAATCTCTCAGATTGTGCCAAGTAAGTGAATACAATCTCTCAGATTGTGCCAAGTAAGTTCAATAAAGTTCCTTATTTAGTTCCAGGGAATTCATACAGAGAGGTTACCAAAGTGTGTCCCAACTAATCATTTCTTAAAAAGAAAAGATTGACATGTCATTTGTAGATACAGGATTACCCGCAAGGAATCAGACAGCAAAGACGACCGTAAACTTTATAAATACCTCGATCGTAAGTCTTAAATTAAGCCTTCTGCCTTAAATATAGCATTCTAATGGCTTTTTTATTGATTTGTTACAAAAAGAATCAAGTTTACAGTTGCAGGGAGTCATGAATATAAAGAATAAGATAATATAATTCACTACAGTCGTCTCTGAAGTCTCATTCTTTGTGGGTTACTCTGTATCTTTAAACGGTTGTTCTAGTGTACATTATTTTACAAATATAATTGTTGAACAACAACGAAACCAGAATGGAATTGCGTTCTTGATAAAAACTCTAATTTTCTATTCCCAATGCTGTAACCCTCAGATATGCCAAAGACATAATTATTTCTTTGTCATTTTAAAGAGAGAAAAAAAGAAGACCATAGTTTGAAATGCATCTTCATAAAGTCGTCTTTTAATCATAATGTTTTTAGGACCCACTTAATATATGTCCAATGGGAGCAAATCAAAGCAAAAAATCTCAAGAACGGTTTGAAAGAGAGGGTTATCCACAAAGGATGAGACTTCAGAGACAACTATTTTCTTATATTCATAATTCGCTGCAACTGTAAACTTTTGTCTTTCTTTGTCCAATCATTATAAAAGCCATTAAAAATTAAAAGTCATATTTTACTAGTTTCAGGTTGTCTTTACAGTCTCATTCTTTGTGGTTAACTCTGTATACAAAATAAACATCTTCTTAAATAATCCTCTTAGTCTTAAAACCTTTAAAAGGGAAGCACTTGATGAGATTCATTTGATTTTTGAATAATCTGTCTATTTACTAGGGTAGCAAATATACAGGCTCATAGTAAATTACGTTCTATACATTGTCAATATAGCTAAATTTGCCCGTTAGTTAATATGTAAATCATGTATTGCGATTAACCCAATCAATGAACGTAGATACCCATTTTGTGATTGCTTAACTATGTTATATATAACAGTGCAGAACTTGTAATTACGCTGCTCAGATCCAATTCTAATCTAAAGTAAAGTGTATATAGCTAGTTGATATAGAGACTCCGCTTTGATTGCTGTGAGAGAGTAATCATGTCCTTGTTCTAAACGAATGGTTTGAAGATTGTGTCCTTGTTAAGATATTGATAGTTTACAAGATTGTGTAAGATTGAAGCATGAATAGCTCAAGATCGTGTCCTAGTTGAGACATTGATAGTTTACAAGATCGTGTCCTAGTTGAGGCATTGATAGCTCAAGACTATGTCCTAGTTAAGGCATCGATAGCTCAAGATCTTTTCCTAGTTGAGGCATTGATACCTCAAGATTGTGTCCTAGTTGAGACATTGATAGTTTACAAGATCGTGGCCTAGTTGAGGCATTGATAGCTCAAGATTGTGTCCTAGTTGAGGCATCGATAGTTTACGAGATCGTGTCCTAGTTGAGACATTGATACCTCAAGATCATGTCCTAGTTGAAACATTGATACCTCAAGATCGTGTCCTAGTTGAGACATTGCTAGCTTACAAGATCGTGTCCTAGTTGAGACATTGATAATTTACGAGATCGTGTCCTAGTTTAGACATTGATACCTCAAGATCGTGTACTCACTGCGATTTAATGGTCTCACGCTCTCTAGCAAAAATCGTTGAGAATTTTGCCAATTACTTCTAAAAAACCAAATCTAACAAGAAGTGCTTTACAGTGCTAAAATGAACATGTAAAGGGCTACAGAAAAGCATAAGTGAGTTAGAGCGATAAAATCTAAGCCTAGGGCGTTGCGACACTTCAAAGTCAGCCCTGTCTTTAAAATTGATGAGACTGTTTATAAGGAGGCTGAATCTATGTGTACTAGTTAAGGCATTGATAGCTCAAGATTGTGTCCTAGTTGAGGCATTGATAGCTCATGGTGTACTAGTTGAGGCATTGATAGTTACGTGCTTGTGTCCGGGTTTAGACATTGATATCTGAGTGGAACTGAATTGTACCTGGATAGATACGTGTTCAAAAAACAGTTAATGGGATAGGGCATTTACTACAGAACCACCCTTCACATTATGAATTCATAAAGTTTCAATCTTTTATGGCAAAGTTTAATTATTAGTTTAATCATTTTCTTCACTCCCTTCCCTCCCCCAGTCTTCCACTTCTTCGTTCTCTACGTAATACGTACATCCTGTTCCTTTAGAAACACTTAGTTTTGAAACCATTTTTCACGAATACGTAGTTAGAGGCCCCAGTCACAAATATTTCTATCAAGCCACCATCATGTCACTACAATAGAAATTTGTGAGATTTTGGCGGTACTATAAACGGTGGAAAATTGCATATTTTATCCACAGAAACGCTTCTCCTTGTTTGTATGAAAAAATGCTTTTTATTTTAAAAACATTGCTATTTCATATTTATTTCCGGTTGTCAGAGAAAACCATTATTTTTTTCGATTTTTTAAACCTCATTTAACATAAAATAATTGGAATTCTATTAATTCTGCTTTGAGAAATAAGTGAGGCCATTCTGATAGAGTTCACACTAGACACTCGAATGCCGAATTTTTAGTGAGAAAACGTCTTCGAAAATCAGACCAGGTCTTAAAGAAGTGGGGACTGTTATAAATTGGACTCGGGACTAAAAAATCTAACTTAAGATTATGTCTACATTGCCTTTAAATATTAATTTTGAAAGAAGAATTCGATAAAAACATTTTTGAGAATTGTGAGAGGTGCAATGTAATGTTGATTGATATCTTGTGGAGAAAAATATTTTATAACTTAAAGGGGATATTCACGAATTTTGAACTAAATTCACGGATGTGAAGAAAGTGTTTTTTATATTAAAAAATGGGGATAAGATTCTGAGTGAAATCAGCATACCTCTTGTGCACATTTTTATATATTTCTTTATTCGTTTTATAAACAATAAAGATCTTTTGCTTTTAAACATGGTTTGTCCATTACGCCCCTTACACAAAACATGATTTGTCGTATACACTTCTAACACGATTTATGATTCGTCCTATACTTGCACAATTAGTCCTAAACTTACAAAATTTATGATGCGTCTGTCGTATAGACCAGATTTTGTTTAAAGAGGATTATCTTCTCTATACGTAAAAACCTCTATATTTTTGTAACCAGAATTATTTCAGTGCATTCACTGATAGAGCAATACAGCTGTGCAATAAAGTTATACAAATCATTTATTTCAAGATAAGAAGACAGAAATAAATGATAACGACCTTTCCAAGGAGGTTGTGCAGGTTGACATCTCTAATGCTTCTATACTCCGAGCTCTCAGGACGCAGAGAGACGAAGTATGAAGGGGGGAGGAGGGGGAGAGAGGAACGCCCACTCTACCTCTACCAGCGATTCTAAATAATAGAATAAATATAAATTTGTTTGTTTCTTGTTAGAGAGTAATGGTTTTTGAATGGACCTGTATTTACTATCGAACTCAGCGCTATAAAACTTATAATAGTGAATAGAAATATAGACTTTCGAATATGTTTTCATGAGAAGATGAGCGAGTATATCAGATAATTGTATACCTGAATATTAATTCTGATGTAAGAGTTGCAGCGCAGGTTTAGTGCAAACTGAAGTATTTGAATCAGTTTTATTGTTGTACAGTATACACTGTACATATACCGGTTTACAATCAGGATTCTATGTATATAATTTATCCTTCTCCAGGGTCCCTGCAGTTCAGTAAGGAGCGGGGGGGAAAGAGAATATTCACACATTATGTTCAATTTCTTCTGTATTGTACAGCTTGTACAACAGCGTCCTATACTTGCACAATTTATGATTCGTCTTATACTTGCACAATTCGTCCTAAACTTACACAATTTATGATGGGTCCTAAACTTGCACAATTCGTCCTAAACTTACACAATTTATGATGGGTCCTAAACTTGCACAATTCGTCCTAAACTTACACAATTTATGATTTATCCTAAACTTACACAATTCACGATTCGTCCTATACTTACACAATTCATGATTCATCCTATACTTACACAATTGATGACTCGTCCTAAGCTTACAAATTTATGATTCCTCTTAAACTTACACATTTTATGATTTGTCCTATACTTACACAATTCATGATTCGTCCTATACGTACACTTACACAATTCATGATTCATCCTATACTTACACAATTCATGATTCATCCTATACTTGAACAATTCATGATTTCTCCTATACTTCCACAATTCATGATTCCTCTTATACTTACACAATTCATGATTTGTCCTATACTTACACAATTCATGATTCGTCTTATACTTACACAATTCATGATTCGTCCTATACTTGAACAATTCATGATTTCTCCTATACTTCCTCAATTCATGATTCCTCTTATACTTACACAATTCATGATTTCTCCTATACTTCCTCAATTCATGATTCCTCTTATACTTACACAATTCATGATTTATCCTATACTTCCTCAATTCATGATTCCTCTTATACTTACACAATTCATGATTTGTCCAATAATTACACAATTCCTCCCTTGCTGGAATTTATTAATAAAGTGTGTTCAGATCAAGCTTGTAAAATAAGGTTGGTTACTCTCGATGCGCTCCAATGTCACTCTCTCCTCTTTAATCAGTGACGTCATATGAGGTTTTTGTCTATCTATCTTAGGAGACATAATTGTAAATCCGTAAATTGGAGCGCATCGAGAGTAACCAACCCACACACTAACCAGACTGCGCAATGCGTATATGATTTTTCTCTACCTGGATAGGCTTAGCAGGCTTAAAGTGTTCCGGCACGCCATGCTACAGTTTCATTAAAGTTATTTTTGACTATCATCTAACTGCCACTTGTTACATATAATAAATATTCAGGGGTTAAGTTTTACAACTTTTAAAGAAATACTCAAATTTTTATCAAGAAACATAAAATTTATGAATTTAGTCTATTTTTAAAGATTTTGTACTTTGTATACAAAGGATCCTGAAATATCCCGGAATACAGATGTCTGCTTATTGGTCATGTACATACTTGTACACAATAGAACCTACTATGGAAAATATCGGATAGGTTTTAATTAATCTCTGTTACTCTCTTATCTCTGAACATACCTTATTATACAACCTTGGTTCAGATATTTCCTGGATAATGTGGAGAGATTGGGTCAGAACTCCTATATTCCAACCACGGAGGATATTCTACACTGTAGGATCAAAACCTCAGGAATTGTCGAGGTCAAATTCTTCATCAAGGTGAGAATTAGAGCAAGTACAGATATATCTATAGGGACCAGATATTATGAAAAGCGGGACCGGATTTAATGGATTAGAAAGATTGCTGATCTATCTACCGCCGGTTCAAATCCTAAATCACCGATTCAAATCCTTAAGAATCCAAAACTATGTATTGGTGATCGAGGATTTGAACCAGTGGTAGGTATGGTTCAGTTATCTAGCTCTCCAATTTATTTAATCTAGTTCAAGATTTACTAAAAATATCGGTTCTTTAAAATCAAAATCTAATCATTTGAAATTGTATTTAATTGTTATTCATATTTTTACATAGAACTTTTTAAAAAGACATTACTTGGTGTAGGATATGGTGTTCCGAATCCACGATGTCGGGGGACAAAAATCTGAGAGAAGGAAATGGTTGTACTTATTCGACTGTGTTCATGCGGTATTTTTTCCTGCAATTTCAACAACTTTTGTTTGAAAAAAAAATATTTTCTTACATGCCCAAGAGTAGCAACGAAAATTAGAACAAAAATGCTAAAAAAAACTGTTAGTTTTTTAGCATTTTTCAAATCAAGACAAATAATGAAATAAATTTTTCCTTGGAAACTTTAAAATATCATAAAATTAAGAATTTTTTACTCTCTGACTTGTGAGAATAAAATTAATATTTTTTCTTTTATCACAATCCTAAAGTTTAACCCGAAACTTCGGAGACATCGAAAGAATTTATAAAATCTCGTTTTCTTAACCCTAAACAGGCTGGGGTGTGGGGCATTTGGCGTCCCCATTTTTTTGCCCTATCGCTCTCATTTTTGACCGTGAAATTTGATTACTTTTAATAAATAGAAATTTACAGGATTTGTAAATTTTTTTATGCCTAGGGTAGGGTACACAGGGCGGTAAAAAAAAACCGATCTGTGTGTAAAAAAATCTAAAATTGCCCAGAACTTTGTTTTGAGTAAAGCTACAGATCTAAAAGCTATATTTTTTTAAAAGCCCTTGAAAAATGGATGTAGAAACATATTTGTTTTAAACAAAAAAATACTTTTTACATTTCTTGACCTTTTTTTGGCATTTTTTTAACCCTCCCTAGCACCCAAACTACAAAATTATCGACCTAATTTTTTTTAATTATCTGGCCTTGAAAAATTGGCTATACAAATGCATTTTAACCCTATACCTATTATCTAAGGCCTTTCTTAGGGGGGGGGGAAGCACCCCCCAATATATACATAGATTCAGACCCCCCCCCCAGCCTTTATAGGGTTAACTTACTGATAATGGAATAATTAAATTGAGTTCTTTAAAACCTTTTTCGCATGTTTCATGGCGGTTTTTATCAATTACTGAGAATTTGGTATAATAGTATAAAACCCATTGAACACCTTTTATGACGACATTTTATAAATAGTTTCGATGTCTCCGAAGTTCTGTGTTAAACTGTATTTGTATTTGACTTTTAAAGGTTGTGTTTTGTGTGAGTTTAACTGAGTATGCTCAGAAGTCTGGAGCAGATATTAACAAGATGCATGAGTCGATTAAGGTACTGCATTATTCTAGAATTTTCCTTATAGAAGGGTCTGGTTTTTTTAGAATTGGGGGGGAATATTCCCACAACCTCTAATTTTAGAGGTTTTTAAATATTTTCTCCTGAAACACTTTATTTTGTATTTCATTGTTATATTTCATAAATAAATAATTTTGTACTTTACTTTACTGTCTCGTTTTGCCGGGTATAATCAGTATCCTAGATGTGAAAATCGAAACCAAAAACGGCGTCCACCTTTTACCAAATAAGTATGAGCCACGTGTACTTTATTATTGATGTTGCAAATTTAAAAAAAAATCTCTTGAAGCGCTATTTTCAGCTGGTTAATATGATAATTTCATAAAGTTTGAGAAAACACAATCACTAAAAAATGTTTTTTTTTCAGCTGTTAAAAGTTTTAAAAATAGCACTTGAAAAAAGTTTATTATCATCTATTTAATATGAGAAGTCACCAATTTAAAAAAAACATATGCTGAAATGTATAACTAGTTTAATAAGTTTAGAAAAACTATAATTTTTTAATAGAATTTCTAACTATTTTCTCGTTTTTAACTTAAAGAAAGTCAGTAATTCTTAATTTATTGTCTAAAAAAACCTGTATATATGTTACTTCTCATGAGTATTACAATACATATATCATTCAAGGTTACACAAATCACAACAACCTAAACAACAAGAAAAAATAATCATTATATCGGACTATATGGACTTTTGAAGACTATAAGAGGAAAATAGGGATAAGCTCCTTACTGGAAAACAAGGATAGAGGGACTTGGAGCAGAAAGACTATTATGGTTTAGGACAGATTAAAGATAGCCATGAATGACAAAAAACTTCTGTAAACTGTAATAGGGGACTATATATACATAGTAAATATGACTAAGCCAGGGACTAACAGACACTAAGAAATACACGAAAAGACACAAGAATAACAGAAATTTCGTTCATTTTAAAGCTGTTAAATGTACAGTGAAACCCTTAATAACGAATACATCGAAAGAACTCATCAAATGTCGTATTCTTCACTTTCTGATAATGGAATGCTGCAGATATTTAGTATTTTAATTAATTGATTATATGGAACTGTTCGCGCATATTCACGGCTATTAATTTATTTTCAAAAATATTGAAATTTACGAAAGATAGTATAAAACTCATTGAAAAATTGTCAAGACGACATTTGATAAATTCTTCCAATGTATTCGTTATTAAGGGTTTCGCTGTATATTTTTTTAACACATGAACAAGCCATGGATAGAAGAATTTTATTTGTTATTGAGCACAGAGCCAACCCTTCAAAAATCAAAATATGCTGTTTTTTTTACTTCAAATCATAAATACAGTGATTTTTTTTATAAAAAAAATCGACAGGGGGCGAACCCCCCTCCCCTGTAACCCTCCCCCCTCCAGCCCCCACAAATCTAATTTCGTCCCACCACCTCACAAAAACGTCCAAGTTGCGCCACTGAATTATATATTTATTAAATTTATTAAAACATAGCTCTAAAAACTCTTATTTTCAGCTATTTAATATGATAGCAAACAGCAGAGTGTTTTTTGATGCGAGCATAGTTCTCTTCCTCAACAAAACTGATCTTTTCGCGGAGCTCTGTAAAAGGTAGGAAAAGGATATTTTACATGTAAGACGACATTTTAACCATTCCATTTTTCTATTATCGTTTACCAAGTAGACAAGACAGTTCAAAAGCAGGGGTTTTAGCCCCTCCCGTTGGAACTTGGGGGGGGGGGGATTTTTCGATTAATATACATTTTTAATTTAATCTATTATTTTTAATAAAGCTCACGCAGATTCAATCGTCTTCCATGTTTTGTCAAATTTTACATTTTAATTTATACTAATCAGGGTTCCTTTGACGACTGCGTTCCCCGACTATACGGGTAAACGGAACTATGAGGAGAGTATTGAGTTTGTCAAAGCTAGATTCAAGGAACAGAGAAAACAGGTAAAATATAAAGAAAACCAGAAAACCAGAAAACCGTAGAATAAGAAGACGACATTATAGCATTTCTGAAGTGCATTTGATGTTGTTTAAAGCAAATAGCTTTACTTGAAAGTTATTGAATTACTTATGAAGTAAAATGAGTCTGTATACGTTGCACAATTGCAGTGTCTCATGTTCAATGCGCTATTAAAAGTCATAACTTGAGTTTAAAAGTCTGCATCCTATTCCAGGATTTCTGGTTATCACTGTAATATCTAAATACTTTCAGTGAGTTCGATCTATAGAGTTACCCACAAAAAAATGAGACTGTAAAGACGACCAGAAACTTTTTTATGGTTACGTTAAGTATGCTGCCGTAAATAAAGTATTTTTAAATCATCTTTAATTATTTGGCAAAGAATTAAATTTACTGATTCAATGCAGGGAATCCTAAATAAAGAAAACGGATAGTATTAATTCCGTACAGTCGTCTATAAAGTCTCATCCTTTGTGAGTAACCATGAATATATTTAATAACGAACAAAATGTTCAGATTCCTTCTAAAAGTGTAAAGTTTTTGTTTAGGAAATATTTATCCATCTACTGTGTGCTACGGACATGACAACAGTTAGATCTGTGTGTAACAGTATAACAGATATGCTTATCAAGAACTTTCTCAAGGATTGTGGAATATACTAGAAATCCTGGACGCTCTGCACCCCTCTAGGAAAAGACTGCAGTATTTACTTGGAGCATATAGAGTACAAGTAATCTGCGGAGCCCACCCAGCTCTATTCAAGAATTGCGTAAAATACTAACAAAAAATCCACTTTTCTAAATTACAGTTTATGGAACAGAATTGAGGAATAGAAAGACGACTGTTAGACTCAAGTTTTTGTTCAATTAATAGAAAAAGACATTAACTATGATTTCTTAAATGTCGTCTTCCTATTTCTCTTTATAACGAGTCCAAGTTTGTATAACCTTGGACGGGTCTAATCTTATTAAAAAAAATAGCTAAAGAAAACTATTTTGAATCACATCAGGGCTTGTCTATGTTAACAGATTTTTTTTTTTAAACCATTGAAGGTGCAATGTAAAAAGCCATTTTGGTTTGCAAAACAGAAAACTAACTAAACAATTCAATTAAGATTGAGAAAATTATTGTGAAATTTGATAAACAAAGCCCCCCGCCCCCCCCCCCATGGTTTCGTTATAAATCATTAGGTGTATTAAAAGTTTTGGGGTTTATATATCTAAATAAGATAAAACCAACAAGGCCTGACTTTTTAATTACATTTAACGGCTTTTATGTGTAATGAATGATTCGCCTTTTTTTACTGTTGTTTTGTTAACCCTAAGAAGACGGGGGGGGGGGCGTTTAACGCCACTTCCTGTAGTTTTTTTTGTCCTAGCTCTCTCATTTTTGACACTATCACCGTGAAGTTTTGTGACTTTTAATGAGTAGAAATTTATAGAATTTTATGTTAAAACATATTTGTTTTTTAATTTATAGGGTAGGGTACAGGGCGGAAAAAAGTCCGGTTTGTGAAGAAAAATATTCTTTTACGCAAAAAAAAATTTATTTTTTTTACCCTTTTTTAGGCATTTTTCCACCCTCCTAAGCACGGCACCCAAACTAATAAAGTTATCCGTCTAATTTTTTTGTTTTTTTGAGCTGGCCATGAAAAATTGGGCTATGAACATGCATACCTATTCTCTAGGGCCTTTTTCTAGGGGGGGGGGGGTGGCAAACAACCCCCAGGCTAAACACAGATTCACACCCCCTAGTCTTTATAGGGCTAAACTCAATAGATTGTCAACTATGATTTAGTTTTTAATGTAAAACATTGTCCGTACTCAGTACTAATATTATCGAATTGGAATGGAAATATCGTTGCGTACAAATCTCTTATTCCACAGCAAACTTTTTTTTCGCTTCCTTCGTAGGAAATATTCTATACTTTGAGCGGTGTATTTCGCGCAAAACAAGGTGCACAAGCAATTCACGAATTCCGCTGAATGATTTAGATTTTTTTCCACGCAAATATTTTCCAAATACTTTCAAAAACTTGGTGTATAAAATAATTCTTTTAAAATAATATTTACATCATGTACAAATTAGCCTAAAAATGAATAAAAATATAGATTCATAGTTCAATTTTAGTTCTAAGATTTCATTTTCATATTCTAAATAAAGCTAAAACCATAGAGAATAGAATATATAGAGAGGAATTTACTAAAAAAAAGTGTAAAACGGCCATTTTGTTGTACTGTTTCCATACTGCAGGTGTACTTCACATATTTATGCTATATAACCTGTTGGGCCCTGGAATATCATTTTATAGAAAATCTAAAATGAATATTAAAAGAAAACCAAATTATGAAATAGGCTGGTTTCATAATTGACCAATGATCATTTCACATAGACTCTATGCCTTCCACTGTACAAACGATGATTTTCCGTTATAACTATAAATCAAATGATGTTTTTATTCATCTAATTCATTAAAAAGTTTATTTAACAATTTAAAAAATTCGAAATTGAAATGGATAGTCTAGAGAACATACTGTATTAATGTACTCTACTGCATATAATTTGTGAACATTTACATGATTTGTACACTTTGAACTCCCTTTCAGGCTGAAAGGGGCTGAACAAACTAATGCAGAGAGATTCTTTTAATTCCTCTCTATATATTCTATTCTAAATAAAGCTATAACCCTGATAATTACAGTGAAATATAGTTTGCCTGAATAACGAAATTCATCAGACAATTTCTCTTCTTGATTGTTTATTTGTCTTGTCACGTGACATGTCATCCAGACTTTCTCTTCTTGATTGTTTATTTGTCTTGTCACGTGACATGTCATCCAGACTTTCTCTTCTTGATTGTTTATTTGTCTTGTCACGTGACATGTCATCCAGACTTTCTCTTCTTGATTGTTTATTTGTCTTGTCACGTGACATGTCATCCAGACTTTCTCATCTTGATTGTTTATTTGTCTTGTCACGTGACATGTCATCCAGACTTTCTCTTCTTGATTGTTTATTTGTCTTGTCACGTGACATGTCATCCAGACTTTCTCATCTTGATTGTTTTATCGCTTTTGTAAAATGAATGATCTCAATTTGTTTATTTGTCTTGTCACGTGACAGGAATATCATTTAGAAGACGACAGTTTATCTTTCTATGCTGATTGAACTAATGTTGTGTAAACTACCTATTTTATGAACACTTGATCATTTAAACAGTTTTCAATTGACAGCTTCTCTTGACTATGTTTATCTGTGTCCATTCTGTTTAACACCTTGATATAGATCAAAATTGAAATCAAAAGTCGTATTCATTGTATTGATATAATCGCCTACCTGTAGCCTGTAATTGTGAACTTCTGATATTAAAGCATTTAAAATAACTAAATAAACTAATTTTTATTTTTGCTTTTTTTACATTTTAAAAGTACATAATTCACAGTTTCTGTGCGTACACAGGAAATAGAATTAATTCATAATGTTCTTCATTACCAAAGTTTCTACATAGAAGAATCTAGATTTCATAGGATTCCATAGAGAAATTACATATAATTCAAAAACTCTTAGATGAAGTTTTTAGTATTTATAATGTCCGAGACAAACTCACAGTATCCCAGACGGATACATGAACGATGAGGATGGAAAAGATGATCCATGACCATCTGATGCATGTCGTGGAAGTGTCTCTCGATAAACTTGTAACAGTGGGGGATTTCGGTAGTGCAGAAATGACGTTCCAGCCAGTGTTCCATTTCTAGATAATACAGATTGAACATGAAGTTGTTCCATTTCTAGATAATACAGATTGAACATGAAGATGTTTCATTTATTTCTAGATAATAAAGATTGCACATGAAGTTGTTCCATTTCTAGATAATATAGATTGAACATGAAGATGTTTCATTTATTTCTAGATAATAAAGATTGCACATGAAGTTGTTCCATTTCTAGATAATATAGATTGAACATGAAGTTTTTCCATTTCTAGATAATACAGATTTAACATGAAGTTGTTCCATTTCTAGATAATAAAGATTGAACATGAAGTTGTTCCATTTCTAGATAATACAGATTGAACATGAAGTTGTTCAATTTCTAGATAATACAGATTGAACATTAAGTTGTTCCTTTTCTAGATAATAAAGATTGTACATGAAGATGTTCCATTTCTAGATAATAAAGATTGAACTTCAAATTGTTCAATTTCTAGATAATAAAGATTGAACATCAAAGTGTTTCATTTCTAGATAACAAAGGGCTTTAAAAATAAAGTTTATAGATCTGTAGCTTTAGTTACAAAAAAGTTATGGCCTATCTTAGATTTTTTTTTCACAGACCGGACTTTTTTCCGCCCTGTACCCTACCCTATAAAATTAAAAAAAAACACATTTTTTTACAAAAAATCCTTTCAATTACTTTTCATTAAAAGTCACAAAATTTCACAGCGATAGTGTAAAAAATGAGATTGCAAGGGAAAAAAACTTGGCGCCCCCCCCCCCCCAACCTGTTCAGTGTTAACTGAAGCGTTTGGCTGTATAATGGTAAAAAATTAAAGAAATTATATTAGTTTTTTGAAACAAGTTTACCTGTGACATGATCCTTTCCGGTCAACATGTCATGGACATCCTCCAATACTACAGTACACTCCAGGCAGCTCATATCCTTAAAAGGTACTGTCTTTAAAAAAACAATCAAAAAAAGGAGCATTCACGATTCACAACAGTACCCTCTAAACATTTATCTGATAAATATTGATATTTATCAGATAAATATCAATATTTATCAGATAAATATTGATATTTGTCTGATAAATATTGATATTTGTCTGATAAATATTGATATTTGTCTGATAAATATTGATATTTGTCTGATAAATATTGATATTTGTCTGATAAAATCTCCTCGTTTTCTTAATCACGAGATTAAATAGCTTGTTCTTCGACTTTTGTTATTAATCATCAGATTAATTAACCGATCAGGATTAGGGATATCCCTAAAGTTTTCTGGATATCCCTAAAGTTTTCAGCTAAGTTTTCCTATTTGTGTCAAAAAGTTTTTGATTTTAGATAAAATCTTGAAAATGCACAAAACGATATTATTAAATCCACAAACTTTTTTGCTATTGTGTCATATTGTACAAAGAGAAGATGCTCACAGATAAAGCCACAGTTAAAAGTTGAAATAAAAGATGGGCGCGAAACACCCTAAAAGTCTTGTTTATATTAGTATTCATACTGCACCTTGACTATCTGGTTCTTAACCTCTTGACCGCAAGCAAAAACATGTTCACAGATTCTAAAATAAAACTAAATTCATTCTATTGTCATATTATTGAATAGAAGTATTTTATTTAAATGTTTTTATTATTAGAACAATTGAAATATTTCGCATTGACATAAACACCTTTATTAGTGAAATAAATTTTAAATTATTTCTTTAATCGGTTTAACATTATTGTCAAAATTCAAAGATTTCTAAAGTTTTAATTGTGGTAACGGAATATGAGCCAACCATTAATAATCTGAGATAATTGGGCTTTATGAGTTTTTGTTCTCTACCCCCCCCCCCCCACACCTAAAAAATAAAAAATGGAATTTGGTGACAGTCCATTCTTTTTTACAGTTATGTTTATAATATTCGGGGAAAATTTTGTTTTTTATCGCTTATACCTGTGAGCGCTGAGAACGATGAACTCCTCGGCGATCATCTCCAGCATAGTAGGATACATCTCGTTGACATGCATGGCACAATCCTCATCATGGGTATGGGGACAGTAGTGCTCCTCGAGGTACTCGGAGATGTTTCCAGCTCCTTCATGGATCCAGGATCCTATGAGAGGAATAGTATCCAGGCAATCATCACAGGACTCGAAGCCCAGGGTTGGAGCTGCACAGACGAGGGTAAAGAGTATTGCTAATGTTAGCATATTTACCAAATTGAAGCGGATACAGGGATACACCTTTTTATACTTATCTCTTATCTTAAAACAATAAGTTTAAAAGCAAACACAGGTCAGGCAGACAAAAAAAGTAATTAGCTTTTTTGACTTAAATCTAAATTGAACGCTTAAGGCTCTTAGGTCCGGTTTATGTCCCTTCTAGGGAAATTCTCTTAAGCTTACTGAATCCAGGAATGTACCAGTCTTTTGAACATTGAAAGTTGATGTTTTCTGTTCTTGGACACATTGCGAAATCAATTTCAAATCAAGAATTGATTGAATAAATAAAAATGTCAGTTTGTCATAAATTGCTGATTGCAAAATAACTAACTAAATCGTTAAGATAGGTAGATAAATGAAAAAATTTAAGGAAATATCAAGTAAACCTTTTGAATTCAAAGTGTACGAAATGTGTTTATCGAACAGTGTAAATCAAATAGATAAGCTTATTACGATTAATTTTGCATTTTATTTGAAGCAAGCAAATGTTTATTTGGAAAGAAGAAAAAATAGACTTCAACTACAGGGTTAACCACAAAAGATGAGTCTGTGAAGACGACCTGAATCTCTTTAAATATGACAATCCCAGGGTTAAATTAAATCTTCTGCTTTAAATATAAAGTCTTCAAATGTCTTATTTAATGTTATGGCAAAGCAAGAAAACGCTTATAGTTGAAGGTAGTTATGAATATATGTAGTAAATACCCTACTCCATAACATTTTCTCCAACAAGTATCTATCCAGGCACAAATCAGATTCTATTGACTATCAATGGGAACCACACGGCTACAATCCCGTGAACTATCTATCACTGGACACGATCTCAATTGGAAGCTTGTAACTATCGATGCCAAATCAATGAGTACAATTGGAAACCTGTTTATCAAAACAGGGAACCACACGGATACAATCTCGTGATCTATCAACGCCACTACCACTGGGCATGATCTCGTTAGCTATCGAAACCAATTGAAGCTTGCAACTATCAATGCCAAATCAAAGGGCACGATCCTCAACCTGTTTATCAAAACAGGGAACGATAACTCTCTCGCAGTAAACAGTACAGAGTTTCTATATCAACTAATGTATTTAAAGTTTATGTGTTACATACAAGTAAAATTTAATAGACATAGTTACAATTCCTACGTCGTTATCTATATCACATGATTTAGACAATCACGTTACATATTTACCGCACAGTTAAAGTTTAATGTAAGTATTTATAAGATTTGCAAGGATAGATATAACATAGTTAAGCTATCTTCACGCATGTTTACAGCATAATTTATGTTGAATGTACGTATTGAAAGGATTAACATGGATAGATATAAACGTAGTTAATCTAATCACAACTCATGTTTTAATCATATTACGTAGCTCATGTTTATCTAGGTATGTTCAGGTTAACAAATATAGGGATCGCTGGATTGCTCCAGGCCTTTATATTTGCTACATATAAATAAACAGGCAGTGTAAATTCTGTAATGGCGTCTCTGAAATCCTATTCCTTGTGGGTAACCCTGTAAAAAAACATGCAATAAATTAAAAGTTCTTGTATATTCGTCCTTACAGTGATATTTCTTTAGCTTGCATGTTGACAATTTTTTCTTGAATTTCTTGTTCACTCGACCTCCCTTCAATTTCTATTATCTTATTCCCCCCCAATACACTCCTCGATCTCCACCCCTCTCTTCTACTTCACTAACACCCTCTTGCCCCACCTTCCCCCCTCTCTATCACTTCGCACCTAAATCTAATAATCCCTAGTTTCTATCTGTTCATTTGTATTTGATGAACCAAACTTTATTCGATTTATTAACAGCCGGCACTTTCTTTACTTTACACTATTCATACATTTTACACTCTACACTCACACTCTATACTCACCACACTACATTCTACACTCTACACTCTATACTCACCACTCTACACTCTACACTCTGCAACCTACACACTACACTCTACACTCTACACTCTACACTCTACACTAATTCTGGACTCTATACTCTAATATGGTAAATTATACACTCTAAACTCCAAACTCTTCACGGAACATTCTGCACTCTACACGGTGCTTTCTGCACTCTATACTCCAAACGCTACAGTACATTTTACGCAATAAACTGTACACTGTACACTGTAAACTGTACACTCTACACTCTAAACTCTACATTACATTTTACATTCTTCTGTATACTCTGCACCCAGCAGCCTACATTCTCATATACTCAATACTCAGAAGGATGGAGAAAACAAGGAAACTAAAGGAAGGAGAGAGGGAATTAAGGAGAAAAGGAGAGATGGAGAAAAAAAAGATAAAAAAGGAGATAAGGAGATAAGAAAAAGAGAAAAAGCAACGGATATGGGAGAGAAGGAGAAAATGAGAAAGTGAGAGAAGGAACAAAGGAGCCAAAAATGAAAGGATTAAAGGAGAAAAGGAGAAAAGAAAAGAAGGAGAGAAGGAGATGACATGAGAAGGAAAGAAGGAAAGTCGTTGTGAAGGAAAGAAATAGAACGAGAGAAGAAGAGAAGAAGGGAAGGAGAGAGGCGAGAAAGAAGAGAAGATGAAAAGAAGAAGAGAAGAATAGAAGAGAAAAGAGAAGGAGAGAAGAAGTGAGAACTATATTAATTATAGAACGAGAGAACGAGAGACCTATATAAACTAAAATAGAACAAGAAAACGAGACAACGAGAAAACGTCATAACGAGAGAACAAGAGAACAAGAAAACGAGATAACTATAAGAGGAGAGAAGGAGAGAAGAAGAGAAGAAGAGAAGGAGAGAAGAAGAGAAGGAGAGAAGGAGAGAAGAAGAAAAGTAGAGAAGAAGAGAAGGAGAGAAGAAGAGAAGGAAAGAAAATGAGAAGGAGTGAATGAGAGAAGAAGAGAAGAAGAGAAGGATAGAAGAAGAGAAGGAGTGAAGGAGAGAAGATGAGAAGTAGTGAAGAAGAGAAGGAAAGGAGGATAAAAGAAGAGAAGGAGTGAAGAAGAGACGTAGTGAAGAAGAGACGGAGTGAAGAAGAGACGGAGAGAAGTTAAGAGAATTAGAGAAAAAGAGAAGGAGAGAATAAGAGAAGGGAAGAACGAGAGAACGAAAAATGAAGATAACCAGAGAAGAAGATAAGGCATGAAGGAGGAAAGTAAGAACGAAGGAAAGAAAGAACTAAAAGAAGAAAGAACAAAGGGAAGAAAGAACGAAGGAAAGAAAGAACGAAGGAAAGAAAGAAATAAGGGAAGAAAGAACGAAGAAAAGAAAGAATGAAGGAAAGAAAGAACGAAGGGAAGAAAGAACGAAGGAAAGAAAGAACAAAGGGAAAAAAGAACGAAGGAAAGAAAGAACGAAGGAAAGAAAGAATGAAGGAAAAAAAGAACGAAGGAAAGAAAGAACGAAGGAAAGAAAGAAAAAAGGGAAGAAAGAACGAAGGAAAGAAAGAACGAAGGAAAGAAAGAATGAAGGAAAGAAAGAACGAAGGGAAGAAAGAACGAAGGAAAGAAAGAACAAAGGGAAGAAAGAACGAAGGAAATAAAGAACAAAGGGAAGAAAGAACGAAGGAAAGAAAGAACGAAGGAAAGAAAGAACAAAGGGAAGAAAGAACAAAGGAAAGAAAGAACATATGGGAAGAAAGAATGAAGGAAAGAAAGAACGAAGGAAAGAAAGAACAAAGGAAAGAAAGAACGAAGGAAAGAAATAACGAAGGAAAGAAATAACGAAGGAACGAGAGAACGAGAGAACGAGAGAACGAGACAACTAAAGAAGGAGAGAAAGGGAAGAAGGATGGAACAAGATTACGACAGAGAGAGGAAGGGTATCCTTTGTGTGTAAAGTTTTAATCCAGTTTCTTTCTGATTCTATTCTTTGATCATCTTATAATCAGGGTTTAATCAACTCTAGAGCTAGTGCAGAACTAGACAACCCTTCGTTATTTTACAAGGAGGGGGGGGGGGGCAGAGGGGAGTTGTCTAAATTATATTCGAAATTCCTAGATATTGTACACAGTGGTCCAAAGGTAGCAAGTTCTTACCCAAATATCAATTACAGTTTTGTTAATTACTAGTAAAGCTTTAATAAAGTGCTTTTTAGTTCTAAAATTAAATGTGTAGTATCAGAAAAAAGAATTTAAGTGAGCTAGGAGGTAATATCAAAGGTCAAGGCTTTGCAACACTCTAAAGTTGATCCAGTCTTGAAGTTTCATGTAATAGTACATAGCAATCCGGATCAATGTAATTAGGTTCTCATCTTCATAAAGAAACATTTTCAAAATTTGAAAACTAAATATGTTATGTTAACTTGTTTTCTGCTTTTTGATTTAAAGATTTGTTACCAGCGAATAATTTCCACCCTTCTTTCAAGCCAAAGGTAGTCAATAAAATTCAAGGTATGTGTATACTAAGTGTACGAAGTACGCTGTACAATGTCTGTAAGTTTATGTGTACGAAGTACGTTGTACAATGTCTGTAAGTTTACGAGTACAAAGTACGTTGTACAATGTCTGTAAGTTTATGTGTACGAAGTACGTTGTACAATTTCTGTAAGTTTATGAGTACGAAGTACGTTGTACAATGTCTGTAAGTTTATATGTACTAAGTACGTTGTACAATGTCTGTAGGTTTATGTGTACGAAGTACGTTGTACAATGTCTGTAAGTTTCTAGATTATTATAAATGTGTTTGACACTTTAACAATAAGCCTTCCCACATCCTTTCCGTATCAATTTATTAGAAAATAACAATAACAGATCCGAGCTGGATGCATACAGCAGACTTCAGAATAATTACAATGTATAAAGACGACATTATGATGAAAACCAAAAAATATTTATGTCCAGAAGATTTCTGAGAATCAATATAATCAAATCAAGTGCAGTTTTATTATTTCTCTCACAATGCAAATATAATCTGATATAATATAACTCGACTACTCTCCACCCCATAACTCCCCTACCCACCCTACACTCTTTCCTTTTCCCCGTCTCCCCTTCGACCCCCTGTCTCATCCGTAGAGGGAGTATGTAGGAAGGTTTAATGTATTCAATTAGAGAAATAGAATAGAATTATCCAGGATTATTTTTATACGATTTATCCTTACCAGTTACCACCCAGTATCCATCTATCCTTGATATCCAGTATCAATCTGTCCTTAATATCCAGTATCCATCTATCCTTACTATTCAGTATCCATATATCCTTACTATTCAGTATCCATCTATCCTTACTGTCAAGTATCCATATATCCTTAATATCCAGTATCCATCTATCCTTACTATTCAGTCTCCATATATCCTTACTATTCAGTATCCATCTATCCTTACTATTAAGTATCCATCTATCCTTAATATCCAGTATCCATACTATACAGAATCCATCTATCCTATACTATACAGTATCCATCTATCCTATACTATACAGTATCCATCTATCCTATACTATACAGTATCCATCTATCCTTACTATCAAGTATCCATCTGTCTATCTTCTATTTCCGTTCTTTCCTTCTGTCTAAATCACCCTTAGTTAGTTAATCATATTTTAATAAAAATGAAGAAAAGGGGTATATATATATATATATATATATATATATATATATATAAGATATATATTAAAAACTATTTGGGTACTTTGATTAATTTTTTAATATTTAGAATTTCTTGAATCTGTTTAAGTTATGAAATGTTGTTTTCCAAACTAGTATTGACAAAATCAACATTAAAAAAATAGGATTTTTCGACGACATAGATAAACAAATATGGGTTGGATCCTCAGCAAAAAGATAAGGTAAATATTGAAATTTTAAAGATTGCATAATACAATTTGTTTTATTCAAAAAAGCTTCAAATCTAAACTTATTTACGCACTTTTAATGTTTTCACCTAAAAATTCCGAAAGTAGCTCAATATTTTGTTTAAAATGAGACGAACTGAGCTTGGTCATTCCCTTGATACACATAATCCCTGATCGCTTGGTCTCGATATCCACAAAGGGCGCCTTTAATGAAAGGACTAATGCTTAATCTCTTTAATCTAGTTATTACTCCAGGGTACGATTACCATGCGGGATATGAAATATTTATAATTGTCACCATCTGGTTATCAAGATATAGGAAGTAAAAAAAAACTAAGTTATAGGAAAAAAGTGGACAAACTTGTCGTAAATATTTTTTAATTGTAAACGACAAAACTGGGACATTTTTACTGAAAATATATTCTTCTCTAGAACCAAAGATGTATTCTATCAAAAACGTATTGCAAAACTTCATTTTGTTCTTTTCTGAAAGAATGGCTTTGTATTGATGGATATGACAGGTTGGGACTAAACTTGGATAGATTGCTCAGCTCAGATAAAGAAATAGATCCTTGAAAATAAATAGAATTGGATAACATGTACGTTCAGAAATAATAAAAAGAGGAACTAAATTATTGATTATGTATAAACATAGCTACAACGCACTATAATTTTATTTGAAGGGGATGGTTCAAATTGTGTACCGTCCCGTTTTACCTGTGTTTGTACTGTACAGCTGGCTCAAGCTGCTTTAAAGTCGGGCCGGTACTTGATATGAACCGGAGTTTACAGTACACATCCTGTCTGCATTGATTTCTTGTTCAAACTCACTCTGGACTGTAGTTTGAATTCGAACAGGACCTGCCCAGTTTGTACCGGCCTGCCAGACAACAGCGTGTACTGACTGGTACAGTACCCGGCCTAATCCTAGGCCTATTTGACCGACCCTGCACTGGCTTAGTCCACCTTGAAATCCGTTAAAAATAGCTTTCTATATCTTGATGTTTAAAATAAAAATACAAACAAACATAATATTTTAAAAATTGCAAATTCGAAAAAAATCTTAATTTTACTCTTAAAATGACTTTTAAGCATAAATTATTTAAAAAAATCAATTAACCCTTTAGATTTATAATTATATATCATGTTCACAATCCATTTATATTTTAGTTCATTGGGGTTAAGTTGATACTTTTAGACATCCCTAAAAACAAGTTACCCATCTATATATAGATTTGGCTTGTCTGTCTGTTTGTTTGTATCCAATAAACGTCAAAACGGCTGAACCAATCGGGCCCAAATTTTTGTGGGACATCTAGGGACCCCAGGGAAGGTTTATGAATGATTGAAATTTTAAAAATTTGTGTTGTAGAGGTTTTTAATTTTGTAAAAAAAATTAAAATTTTTGAAAATCCGCGAATTTTTTTGTAAAAATCCGCAAAACTTTTTTCATCTTTGTTTTGAAATGTAAACAAAAAGAACATGTTCACAATTTAAATAGAAGATGGGCGCGAAGCGCCCTAAAAGCCTAGAAAGAAGGGCGCGAAGCGCCTTGAATTTCTAGTATCTTACAATAATTTAATCGCTTAAAATCTTTTATTTGAACATAATTAAAAAGAGCACCTATTATTATGTTTTATTTAAAGCTAAAAAACATTAGATTAAAATCACCGGATACTTAAATCACAATTTATATTATGTATACAACAATAAAATCACTTAAGACTTAGACATTTTGATGAGGCAAAATTCAAAGTTTGAAATATCAAAGATTTATGAAATTGGCAGCAAATATAAGTATTAGAAAATTAGGAGTATTTTAACCTCAAGCAGATACTTTGGAGATTTTACTCAATTGCAGTTTTTAAACATCCTCATTTCGCATTAACATATCAGTAATAAAGTTCTTTGATCTTTAAGCAGACTTAATTTTTCTCTTTAATAGCATTGAACGCCTATTGATGTGCCATAACTTTAAAGCAATAATTTTAGGAGATGTTTTGAAGTTGATTTAGTGAATATGATGTGATTTAAAAATCATCAGACCTGCATATTTAGCATGCTAGCTTTTAAATATCAAATAAACAAAAAATATTTAACCAAAGTATATGTATTCCCCGTTCTCATTCACATTGATTATTTTAGCCAGAGAGCATTTTAAACATGAGTATTTACAATTTTGTTAACATTTTACAGGAAGGGCATATTAGACATTTAGGACGAATTAGACATTTAGGACATATTAGACATTCAGAATATATTAGACATTTAGGACATTAAAAATGTGAATATGCAAAGGATAAAAAAATTATGAACATCTTATTATGTGGAAAGGCAAAATATCTATGGGGCATATGTTGACATATTTCTCGCATTTTTCCAAAAAAAACTCAAATTGTAATTTTATGATTCTTAAATCTTTGCAGCCTGATGTGGCAGATTTTTCAAACTATTAATTTTGTTAGATAACAAAGTAAAAATTTGAAATATGAAAGGTTTACACCATCAGGTTGAAAAGATATATGGATTAGAAAATCTGGATCAGAGGCAAGTAACTTCCTTTGTTATTTAAAATCTATAATCTGTAGCGCGGCGAGAAATTTAAAAAAAACTTCTCCGTTAGGTGATCATTGAGCTGTAAAGCGTCATGCGTATGCCCGTTCGATTCTCCCGCAGTTCTTTTTGGCGCTATTCTGTTTTTTTTCAGGATCAGTATACCCTAATATTAATTTTTCTATTAAGGTATTGAAAAATTGACGAGTAAGATACAGAATTTTGAACATAATTTTGATTTAAAAAGTTGAAAACATTTTACTTAAATTTAAGACATATCATCCTTTTGAGTTAAATAGCACAATTCTTGAACATGGAATTCATTTTTTTTTAAATGCAGTAAAGTTTAATTTTTAAACATGTCACATAAAAGTTTCTCCATTGGTGTACTCCCAATAGTTTTCTCGAAATAAATTCGTTCTACGTCAACCGAGGGAATCTTCTGTAAAGCTGAAAGCGCAAGTAGAAGCCGGGGAAATCGTGTGCCCTGGAAAAATAGAATTATAAAAAATTAAATCAAAATTAAATCTTTTTTTTACCTGTCTTGGTTGTGGTTGCAGATGATGAAGACCACCGGCCATACCAGCTACTCCTCCTTTAAGATAAACAATTTAGAATTAAAACTTAGGATACTTAAGTTCCAATATTTTTAAAGCCCGGAACCGAATTTAATGAATTTAAGCTACGTAGCTTAGTTACTTTCTGCCGGTTCAACAAAACTAAGTTTTTGCTTCAAACCCAAATTTTTATCTTTAAATCGTTGCAACCCTTTGTCGTAGACTTTTGATATTCAAACTATGAATTCTACTAGATCAAATAGTTAAAGTTTGAAATTTCAAATGTACGCATCAACTGTTTCTATAAATTTTGAGCCCCTTCAAAGCTTTTTAGAAATAATAATTTCTCTCGTCAATCGTAGAAATAATAAAAAATAGATACTTTTGAAGTAAAAAAAAATTACAAATCGACACAAAATTTAAACTTTTTAGTTCAACTTTTGCAAATTTAATGATACTAAAAAAGTACAATTGCCATTTATTTTGCTACCTGAGTTGATGTGATGTTGAAGCATTGATAAACTTTGATCCTGGAGATTCTCAACCTCTACACTATCCTTCAAACCACAAACCTCTGAAAGAAAACGATTTAACTTTAAGGGATCCACTGCTGACGTGATGTCAAGTGACCTTCCCTCGTTTATAAATATTGAAAAGAGATCATTTCTTTTAATTCATTCCTTGTCTTGATTGTATTATCCGCAAGTAAAAGGAATTGAGTTTTAGCCACAAATTCTGATTTTCAAATCGCTATATCTTTGCAAGTTCGCAACCTGATTGTGTTAAACTTTGATATTTCAAACTATCATTATTTAATCTAAAACAATTCATAGTTTGAAATATCTAAGGTCTCCGACATTGAAATGCAAATATATAGGGTTCAGAAAATCAGAGTTTGGGACAAGAACTCAATTCCCTTGGAGAAAACCCACATGAGAAAATGTTATATTTTTAGATTAAAAAATCAGAAATCCGGTATGTAAATTATAAACCTAAAATAATTTTAAATCCGTCAATAAAACATGTATGTTGGGGTTAAGTTAAAAAAAGGATTGGAGTCTTTTCTCAAGTTTTATAATTCCTATATCTTTTCAACCTGATGGTGTTAACCTTCAATAATTCAAATTTAGATTATTTGATATAACAGAATTCTTAAACAGACATTGGATTGCAAAGATATAGGGATTAAAAATTAGAGTCTATGGCCGGCAAAGACTTAATTCCTTACCCGTGAAAAAAAAAATACTAATTAAGTTTTTTAATATTAATAAATCTTCTAACCTGGTTTAAAAAGTATTATCGCCTTTAAACAAGCGAACTCAGCAGGATCAATATTTAGCTGACGATACCTGAACAAAACAAATTCAGACATTATTTTAATTTATCATTTATTTTATTTCTAGGATTTCAGGGCGCTTCGCGTGCATCTTCAATTGTGAACATTTTCTCTCTGAATCTATATCTATATAATAAAACAAGACATTCGTATATATATATGTTGCGTATAGCCGGCCAAACGGCTGGACCGATTGGGCTGAATTTGTTTGTGGACGCTCATGGGTGGCCAGGGAGTGTTATAGGCTATAAAAATTTGAAATTTTTTTCTTCAATTTTTTCTTCTTTCAAATAAAAAAAAATAATTCAACTTTTTTTCTACGGGCAACGCCGGGCCCTTTAGCTATTACGTATATAAGTTGTAATCTCTGTTTGTTGGTCCGATCATAACTCAGGAACCCCTGGACCGATTGTCTCAAGTTTTGATTTGGGAACTCGGGATTCTAAGTAGAGTAGGTCGACTTTAATACCAAAATTTAATTTACCGGTAAAATCGTTCAAGTGCGGGTAAACGGCGAAAATAACTTTTATAAACTTGGCAGCTTTAAGTTCCTAAGCTAGTACATAATGAAACAAAAACAAAAAAATCCTGGTTTAAAATATTTTTGCATGGAATTTCAAAATTATGAAAATCGAATTAAGTTAAGCGCAAATTTTTTTAATTCTGATCTTCCATCCACCTTTCCAGGCCCCACACAAAGAATTTGGCCCGATCGGTTCAGCCGTTCTGACATTAATCTGTTACAAACAAACAAGCCAAGCACCCAGACAAGCAAAGTATATATATATAGAGATTTTTTACCTGAAAAGTAGATTGTTTAGTGTGTTTAATGACCCCTCTAGATTGTGAGGAAGAGATGGTAGTTGGTCCGAGGAGAAGAGAGAAGGTGAAGGTAGGGGGAGACACCATTGAATAGAGCAGAGTAGGAATAGTTCACACCAGCTATCCTCCAGGAGCAGAACCTAGAATAGATTAACTATAGTTCACACCAGATATATCCTCCAGGAGCAGAACCTAGAATAGATTAACTATAGTTCACACCAGCTATCCTCCAGGAGCAGAACCTAGAATAGATTAACTATAACTATAAAGTTTTGAAGGTTTTGGTCATTTTAGAGAAGATAACGGATTTCTATGTTTTGATCATTAAAATATCGGCTTATCTGGAAAGGAGAAAATACCATTAACTTAGGAAGTTAGGGGTTTTGACCCATCTAACCTGATTTTTGAAGGGTAATGAAGCAATGGAAGTGTTTTGGTCCATCTAACCTGATCTCTGAAAGGATGGGAAGCAACGGAAGCTAGGTTTTTGGTCCATCTAACCTGATCTCTGAAAGGATGGGAAGCAATGGAAGCTAGGTTTTTAGCCCATCTAACCTGATCTCTGAAAGGTAGGGACGCAAAGGAAGCTATGTTTTTGGTCCATCTGACCTAATCTCTGAAAGGTAGGGAAGCAAAGGAGCTAGGTTATTGGTCCATCTAACCTGATCTCTGAAAGGTAGGGAAGCAAAGGAAGCTAGGTTTTTGGTCCATCTAACCTGATCTCTGAAAGGTAGGGAAGCAAATGAAGCTAGGTTTATGGTTCATCTAACCTGATCTCTGAAGGGTAGGGAAGCAAAGGAAGCTAGGTTTTTGGTCCATCTAACCTGCTCTCAAAGGTGGGGAAGCAAAGGAGGCTAGGTTTTTGGTCCATCTAACCTGATCTCTAAAAGGTAGGGAAGCAAAGGAAGCTAGGTTCTTGGTCCATCTAACAGCCATGAAAAGTAACCTTGCAGCAGTTTCATAAACTGTCTCAGGAGCTCCCTAAATATTTAATTAAATAATAAGACTTTAAATTTTCATAATTTTTTCAATATTTGTGTTCATAATTTTTGCTGTCTTACGAATTAGTGGGAACTTAATGTAAACCTTTGATCTACAAAAACTTTGACTTTTTGGATTAGAAATTTAGAGTATTTATTCAGCATTTATTAGTTCTGACCTGAAGAGAAGATGTGTCTATGTCGGAACAGTTTATAGGAGGAGAAGAAGAACTTGTTTCAGAATCTTCTAAATTTGGAGAAATTTAAAGAAGTAAACCAGAATCATACATATATGTGGAAGTAGTTTGACGACAAAATGTAACAAGTAAATTCCAAAATTAAAGACGACTTTCAAGTTGTCTTGCTACCGTCATGTTTCGTGGGACACCCTGTATATACAACCTTCAAGTGATTTTGAATAACATTATGTAAAGAACCCCCTTTTCATGGCAAATTCAAAAGGAACAGAGTTTTTGTCACAAATTCAAATTTCTTATTCCAATATCTTTGCAACCTGATGGTGTAAACCTTTGATATTTCAAACTTAGTCTATTTGATCTAACATACTTATAGTTTGAAATAGCAAAGACATACTGCACTTGATTAGAAAATCAGAGTTTGTCGCAAAAAACTCTGTTCCTTTTTTTACTTAAAAAAGATAATTGAATATAAAAGAACTGCATTTTTGCCACAAACTCTGATTTTTAAATACTTATTCCTTTTCAACCCGATGTCGAAGACCTTTAACATTTCAAACTTATAGATCATAACACTTAGGTTGCAAAGATATAGGGATTACATTTACAAAACTTTAGCTTGTGGTAAAATTTCAGTTTCTTTGTGTTATTTCAGAAATGAATATATACTGATTTATACTGTCTGAATTCATCATTTTATTACATATACTTGCCTCCATCTGAAACAGAATCCATTTTTGATTTAGATTTTAAATTTGTAAATTATTAAACTGCAAGTCCACATGATTTCCATCTAATTACCTTGCTGCTTAAACACTGAGATATTCCCATCAGGATTTGGCGCCAAATCCTGCGATCTGTCAAGTAGGGCGGGCAGGCCGCGTGCTCCGGAGAAATTCAGCGGCATTGGCGCAAACATGGGTGCTCCGGCTCCACGGAACCCGAGCAGCGGCAAGGATGGTCTCCTGAAACATTATAGAAGATTAATATTGTTATAAGATAATAGAGAAAGAAAAATGTATATAATGCTGCAACAATAGGATTTAACTTAGATTCTATAAGATAATCAAATAAAGGTAAAATATAAAGCAGGAAACAAAGCAAGGGGAGCCATTTTAATAAACCACAAATAACTATACTTGGAGAGGAGTCATTTTTGTTTTTTTAATTGTATCATTGGGTTAAGTCAGTTTAGTAAAGGCAAGGGTTTATCGTGGCTTAAAGTAGTTTAAACCAATAACAATAAAATAATAAGAATTAAAAAACAGAATGTCATGAAATGTTTTGATAAAGCTACTTGTTAGTCAAAGGCTTATAAACAATCTTTTGTGAAAAATCAGGTTGCAGAAATGATTGAAATTTCACGTAAAATTGTGCAAATGATTTGAGTTTCCTCTTTAGCCCTTCTTTCCATGTCTAGCCCTTCTTTACATGTCTCGCCCTTCTTTCCATTTCTAGCTCTTCTTTCCATTCTTAGCCATCCTTTCCATTTCTAGCTCTTCTTTCTATTCTTAGATTTCTTTCAATTTCTAGCCCTTCTTTCCATTCTTAGCCATCCTTTCCATTTCTAGCCCTTCTTTCCATTCTCAGTTATCCTTTTCATTTCTAGTCCTTCTTTCCATTCTTAGCCCTCCTTTCCATTTCTAGCCCTTATTTCCATTCTTAGCCCTCCTTTTCATTTCTAGCTCTTATTTACATACTTAGCTTTCTTTCCATTTCTAGCCCTTCTTTCCATTTCTAGTCCTTTTTTCCAGGCCTTCCCTCCTTTCCTTTTCTATACCTTCTTTCCATTCTTACCTCTTTTTTTCATTCCTAACCACGCCTTTCCATTTCTAGCCTTCCTCTCCATTCTTTCCATGTCTAGCCCTTCTTTCCCTTTCTAGCCCTTCTTTCCATTTATATCCCTTCTTACCGTATCTATCCCTTCTTTCCATCCCTAGCCACGCCTATCTATTCCAAGTTCCTCCTTTCTATCCCTAGTCGCTCCGGCCTTTCTATTCCTAGTCCCTCCTTTCCATTTTTTGTCCCTCTTTTCCATTCCAAGTCTCCCGTTTCCATTTCTAACACCTCTTTGCTATTCCTATACCCTATTTTCCATTTTTAGTCCCTGTTTTCTATTCCTAGTTCCTCCTTTCTATTCCTAGACCCTATTTCCCATTCTAGTTCCTCCTTCCATTCTTTTCCCCTCCAATTTCAATCCCCTCTGTTGACCAAAGATGTAGCCCCTTATGACCCTTTCAAATTGCCTCTTGTTTCTTCATTCCGTCCCTTCTAGCCTCTTTTAAAAATCCTGCTTTTTTACGTTCGAGTTCCTTCTTTATTGTTACAGGCCTCTACTTTCCATGCTTAGTTTCTTATATTGCATTTTAATCAAACTCTCTTAACCTTTTCCAAAGTTTCTTTCCCTCCATTTTCTTTTTAAAACTTCCTAAAAACTTTCCGGAAACCCGATTCTTCCGAGCCCCTTCTCCATCCCTCTCTACATATCCTTCCGAGCCCCTTCTCAGTCCTTTCCAAAATGTCCTTCCGAGCACCTTTTCTGTCCTTTCCTAAATGTCCTTCCGAGCCCCTTTCCCGTCCTTCTCTACATTTCCTTCCGAGCCCCTTCTCTGGCATTATCTTCATGTCCTTACAAGCCCTTTCTCCGTCCTTTCCTACATGTCCTTCCGAGCCCCTTCTCCGTCCTTCTCTACATGTCCTTACGAGCCTCTGCTCTGTCCTTCTCTATATTTCCTTCCGAGCCCCTGCTCCGTCCTTCTCTACATGGAATCCTTACCACCAACTATCCCCACTCCAAGATTTACAAGTTCTCAGCGGAGAAAGAAAAGTGGGGAAATTGAGCGATAGAGATTGATTAAGGAGAAGTTGGGGTAAAATATATGTGTAGATAAAAGAAGTGCAATATAAAGATTTACTTAGTTTTAGGGACGGTAATGGGGGTGGGGGGGGGAGGGGGTCTGAATATTAATTCTTATTTTTCGTTTAGGATAATAGTTTATTACCTCGCATGAACCCAGGAAAGGTTAATGGATGATCGAATTTTCAAAAAGTTGCCTCTAACAAAGTTAAAGTTTTAATAATTTTTAAAATCCACAAACCTTTTCTAAAATCCGAGAATTTCGGTTTGTTTTTATTTCACAATGACACAAATAGAACATGTTCACAATTGAAATAGAAGATGCGCGCGAAGCGCCCTGTAAGCCTAGACTTTTTATATTCTTGTTGGCATAAAGCTAATAAAGCTGTGTTTGTAAAAGGAACTGTATATTTTACCATATTTTACATTAACTGCCTCCTAAATGAAAAAGTTTCATCATTTTATGCCCGGGTTAACAACAGAACCTTTCCTTCATATATCGACGTTTATCTATCTTTAAAAATGTTGAATTACATCAATAAATCCACAAATTCGGTTACATATAAAAATCATAATTAAAAACCAAAATTATCAAGTTTCAGGTAGAAAATAAATAAATCTTGTTTATTTTGACAAAGCTAAGGTTTAAAGGGTATTGTTGTAAATCAGACACCACTCAATAGGTTAAAGATCACGTGGAATTATATCTTGTCCCTTTAAGGAACATTTTGAAGGGGAAACCATTTAACCCTATCTCCGCTGGGGTACTTGAAAACCAGGATACGCTGGGGGGGGGGGTCAATTTGACCCCCCCCCCTCTAAATCCCATGTTTTATGTCCAAATATGACAAATGATACATCATTAGAAAGCTCTTGTGCTCTACTTTTAGAATCTGCAAAAAAATTTGCAAATTTGCGAAAATTGAATTTTTTATCGCAAAATCCAGTTTTATAGTAAAAATGTTTGCAAAAAAAATTTGTCCAAAAAATGACAAATTATACATTTTTGAAAAGCCCTTGACCATGCCATTTCAAATATGCAAAAATTTTTGCAAAATTTTAAATAACCTGATTTTTAATCAAGAAAAACTAAAAATGTGCAAATTTCCTTTGACAGGTTGTTTGCAAAAAATTTGCAATTTTTTTTTCGCAAAACTTGTGCAATCCGTTTCCTTATGTCATAGGCTTTCCAAAAAGCTAAATTTTATCAAAATCTGACAAGTGAAAGTGGGTCAAAACAAAGATTTAGTTTGTTACAGGCAAAAGCAGTCATTCAGGCAGTGTGCCCGGTTTTAGGCCTAAAGGGAGGGCTTTGGGTATGTAAGAAAAGTCAGAAAATTTCAACAGCGTCAGACCAATACTTTTTGAGTTATTTAAAAAAAACTACAGGGGGGGTCAAATTGACCCCCCCCCCCAGCGGGAATAGGGTTAAATCTGAACCTTCATGTTGATTTGTTAAACTACCCGACCCTAGAAATGTAGACGAGTGAACTGAATGGTTTAGGTTCTATGTCTCCTGAGACCAGAGACCATGAAACCATTTCAGCAAGATTGTTTTTAAATCCTTCCGCTCCATTCCCAACCCTGATCCCTCTCCCTCTATCCGTCCAACACTTGGATTCAATTTGAGAATGTAAATTCAAGGATTAAACAGGGAAATATTAAATGTGGAGGATTTAAAATAACATCTCAGGGTGCACCAGTCACACTGCTGAAAACAACACTGTTTGAGGAATTGAATCTTACTGTCTTAGCTCATTTAATATGGTGAAAAAGGCTTAGAAAGAAAATTGAGTCTTTGACACAAACCCAAATTTTCTAATTATGTCTTTGCAATCTGAAGGTGTGAGCCCTTGATATTGATCTTAGCAGAATTCATAGTTTGAAATTTCTATTTGAAAATCAGAGTTTGTGGTAAAGACTCAAAAGTGTTTATAGATAAAAAAACTTGAAGTAACGATTTTATTCGACTCAGCGGAACATTTCAGAAAATGTTTACACATTTTACAGACTGGACAGATTAAAAGTATTTTACAGACTGAACAGATTAAAAGTATTTTACAGACTGGACAGATTAAAAGTATTTTACAGACTGGACAGATTAAAAGTATTTTACAGACTGGACAGATTAAAAGTATTTCGAAAGAAATATGAAAGGAAGCTGGCTATGAACTATGAAAAAGTGTTAAAAAAAGACATTTTCCTTCAATGATTTGTCCTAACTTAGCAATAGTTTTGCTTTTGTTATGAATGTCTCTCTATTCTACTATTAATATTTTTACCCGCAAACAATATCCCTATTTAAAAAATCCATAAAATACCTATCCATAAAATATCCATAAAATATCCATTGATAAAATGTCTGAAACCCCATTTTTAAACTTGAAGAGGAAAAATTGTCTATTTGAAAATATGTTTTACGAAGAGTTAGGATACAAAACTTTTAAATTTGATTTACCCAAATGCTCCAACTGCAACACTTGCTTCTCTTAACATCGTCTCTGCGTCCATATCCTTCAATGATTCAGGGCGAATAGTCGCAGTATTTCTAGGTTGCCGCTCGTTTTGAACAGCTAAAAGGAAACCTTATACTTTCATTGATTATGATTTTAACTTATTGTTTAAAAGCTAAATAACTTACCATCTTTGTTCATGCCCATTTGAAGACATTTCTTCAGCCTACAAGCTTGACATTGGTTACGATGTGCTTTGTCAATCATGCAAGCTCCATTTCCGGCCTGACATCTAATAATACATCTATCTATATATTTTTTGTATGTTGGTGATCATAACTCACAAACCCCTCCACCGATTTGTCTCAAATTTTGATTGGGGAACTCGATAGAACTACGTGAATGTTCTTAGCTTGGATCAAAGATTCAAAGTTAAGTTGACTTTTAAAGGTAAAGTTTAGTTTCAATGCAAAGCCGGGTTTAAATTGGTTAAAATGGGTCTGACATATAAAAAGATTCAAAAAGACTTATAACTCCTGCTTAAAAGGGTCACTTGAAATTACTTCATCAGTCCCTTTATAAAATAATCTGGTTTACCTGTATATTAAATCGTCTTCTTACAGACCTTTAAATAACCCTGAGCATCCATTACAGTCTCTTTATGAGATAATATTGTTTACCTGTATATTAGTCGTCTTCGTACAGATCTTTAAAAGAACCCTGAGCATCCATTACAGTCTCTTTATGAGATAATCTAGCTTACCTGTATATTAGCCGTCTTCGTACAGATCTTTTAAAGAATCCTGAGCATCCATTACAGGCCAGTATCCCATAGTGTTTTCCAGAACTTGTATCTCCACAAACCACGCACATCAGTCCTGAACCCTGAACACAAACAAATCAGTCCTGAACTCTAAACACAAACACATGAATCCTGAAAACAAACACAACATTTCTGAACCATGAACACAAACACATTGATCCTAAACCCTGTACATAAAACACATCATTCCTGAACCTTGAACATAAAAACCTTGATCCTGAACCCGGTACACAAACATATGAATATTGAACCCTGAACACAAACATATTAATCCCAAACCCTCAAAACAAACACATCATTTCTAAACCCTGAGAACAAAACTAATCATAAACCTTGAACACAAACACAGTCCTGAACCCTCAACTCAATTATATTAATTCTGGACTTTAAACACAACCATATTATACCTAAACCCTGAACATAAAACACATGAATCCTAAACCACGAACACAAACACATGAACCTTGATGAAAACTATTTAGATTTGAGTGGTGCTACTATGATAACGGAGGATTAGTACAGGGTGTCCCACGAAACATGACAGTTGGTAAATAGTTTGTTAAGTAATTTAATACCAAAGACAATACTAAAAATATTATATAGGATTCATATTATGGTAAAATTAATTTCAAAGTAAAATATACTTGAGCAAAAGATTTTTTAAACGAAATAAAATGCAAACAGCCTTTAATACAGTAAATGAAAGACGACATTCCAACTATTTACCAACTGTCATGTTTCGTGAGACACCCTGTACAAAAGTCACGTGTTTCTGTTAATCCGACACTTTAATTCCATCGTTTAAATTGGTAAATTTGTTGTATCAAAAATATATAAAACTACATAATCCAATAAAGAAATCGGGACGAGGGTGGATTTTTAGACTTTTTTTGGTCAAAACATATAACTCTGCTTAATTCGAGGTAAGAAGTTCATGTCAGATTCTTAAACGATTTTTTTAGCAAAGTTATAGACATTGGTTTTCTATCTTAAAATTGATCCGATTTAATTTTAAAAGTGATTCTTTACTGATGAAAAAATTCGGAAAATGTTAAAAATTATCCATTTTGTTTGAATATAATTTTTGCTCAGACAAAAAATTAAAGGGTCACTTGAAATTACGTTGACAGTCACTTTAAAGTTTGATTTAACGGTGTAGCTCTAGAATAATCTAGAGAGGGTCAGCAGCAGAAGCTAATTCAATCATGGTTCGATCCATCCCTAATCCAGTAGTATTAAGGGAAGCTGAGTGGACTGAATATGTATGACATTTTGTAAACAATTGATGGAGAGGGAATTGAGGGATGGGGGGGGGGGAATCTCTAAACACAATTTTCTCTTTACGGAAATTAGTTGTGAACATTTTGCAGGGAAACCCACATATTTGGTTAATATGACAAATATTATTATACAGGAGTATACACATTAAACATTTTCTTCGAGTTATCTTTGTGACCCACCCTGGACTAATCGGGGCTAGATACGTTCGCACCGTTCAACTTGAATCAAATTGAGGTTTGGTCTTGACTCCAATAATCTTTAAACATGCAGTATTGCCATTTCATACATTTTCATTCTAAACGTATCAACCGACAATAAAGGAAAAAGAAAGAAGTCAAAAATTGGGATCGAAAGTCATAGCTTGATGGGCTGGACCGAACCCTTTAATCAGCTTCAAGCGCCGAGAATGAGAATGAATTAACACAATTGATTGGAAATCATCTTATTATAGTTTTAAATCTAAAATCACGTCATGTTTAATATCTTACAAAATATCATTGCCTTTGTTAATTCTAAATGTAAGTTAAGCACTCCCATGTAGAAAAGTCAGGGATTGGAGATGCTCCACTGAAGTCTTATCGACCTGATTCCCTTTCCTCGTACTCTACAGGGTTTAGTTTCGCCTATGATTGGCAATATTTCAATATTTCCTTAAACGTACGATATTTAATAAGTGATTTTTGCTTTTTCGAGTGCTGTTCAGAGTTTTGCAATAATCTACACGAAGTGTAAATAGGCGAACTTACGATTTGTCAAAAAGAGAAATCTTATGCCGTATAACTTTGAAAGTGGGGGGCGGAGTCATGCACCGCCCCCCTCCCGGCTCTATGCCTATAAGTAAATGTCTAAGGCCCAATTTTCAAGACTAAGTTAACAAATTAGACCCTGAGCTTTAATAGTGGGTTCTAGGGAGGTTAGAATAATAATAGTAATAAAATCAACACAAATTTGAATTTGAATTTTAGACAAGTATCACGATGTGACAATTTTTTTTCTTTACTTTCATTTTTTAAGGGCTTATTCTAATATAAAAGTTATAAAAGCTTTATCTAAAAAGCCCTAATAATTAGATGCGTTAAAAATAAACTTTACACAAAAATTTCAAACTTACTTAATTTTTTTTAAGTCAAAAAGTTTCAGCGAAAAAAAAGGATTCTTCATATCATTCTTTGTACACAAGTTCGGCTACACCATATTTTACATGCATGCCCTATTAAAAATCCGAGGATTTCTAAAAAAAAACATTTTTTTAAAACTTTGTGAAACTATTTTTACCTTTAATGCTGGAGAGGAGAAGCCAAGCTGAAGCCTGTCCAGCCTAGAGTGGGCGTGACTAAAAGAGTTTGGGTGGGCGTGGTTCAAGGAGGTGGAGTGGGGGTGGTTGAAAGCTGGAGAGAGGGAGTTGTTAAAAGCACTGGAGATTTAACAGTAAAAATATCAGATTTAGTTTTATCTTTTAACATTATCTTATTGCTTATATCTTATTTTGAAAGGGAAAAATATTTATAAAACTGTATTCTTTGCACTGCACTGTTGAGATTCCATCGTAAACACTGATTTTTAAATTTTAAATCATAATTTAAACAAATTTATGGGTTTTTGTTTAGAAATTAAGGAAATTGATGATTTTTTCTCTTTCCTAACTGGAAGAGATGAGGCGTGGCTAAATACACTGATAGGATGCCCGCCCATCCCTCCACCGGAACCTGCTCCGCCCCCCTCAAGCATATCTGATCTCAACCCTCTACCAAATACATCTAAATAAAAGGGGAGGTTGTCCAGGGACCAGGATTGACATTTTTTAGGTGATTTCTTGATAGCTTAGTGAGTTGGAAGTTTGGTTCGTTTGTTGATATGTTTTAAAGTTGTCTAAAGGGTTTGTTTTGGGGTTGTTTGTTGGTTGCATCGTAGATTAGTTAGTGTATTTGTTTGGTTGTTTCTCTGTTGTTAATTTGTTGGGTTGGTGATTTATTGGTAGTTGTATTCTTGGTTCTTGGTTGTTAGGTTGGCTGGTTATAGTTTAGATAACTACATAGGATAAGACTTCAGAGACGGCGCATTTCGGAATTTATTCAGTCTTTTTTTATATTGATGGATCCCGGAAGCTGTAAACCTGTTTCTTTCCAGGGCAAATCTTTTTATATACCATTTAAAGAGTCTAAGACACCCAAAGTCAACCTTTAAATCGATCCAAAAAGGTCCAGGTCGTCAGTAAAGCCTCAAAAATGGTGGGTAACCCTGAAGTATATGCTCAATAAGGGTTGGCTTGCATAAAATGTTGCAAGATGCAGTTTGATCTACTAAAAAGTTTGAGAAAGGACAATCTAATTTATTGCACATTAATTAGTTGGCTGTTTGCTTTTCCATCTAATTTGAATTGTTTTGTTTTGTCATATATATAAACTTTTTAAAATTTACATATTTTTAGATTTATTGTTGACTCTTTGCTTCCCAAAATTGATTCTCAACATTTAATTAAAAACAAATTGGTATTCTAAGAGTGCCATCAAGAATTTATTTTATTACTATTGATGTTTATCTCATGTTTTCGTTTAATATCTAAAAATTTGAATTCTTGGTACCCGTAAAAGCTTTATCTGCTCTAGAATGAATTAGATCTCAACGTTATAGTAAAAATTAATAATTTCTAGTGGTGGTTTCTTTACAAAAGTTACTTGAGCATTTCTATTGCAAGAAAACATATAGGAATGATCAAAATCGAATACTTTTAAACCTTGAAAAACGACAATATCTTCAACATTTTTTATTAGTGAATAGGGCAATTGTTATCTTGAAATTACGCGTACATCCCCTTTAAACAGGAGTTAGGTATTTTCCCAATTGCATTTTCCCCCGGACGACTTCCCAAGTGGCAACTTCCTAAATGTGCAGTGCAATTTCCCAAGCGCAGCAACATCCCAAAGGTTAGATTAGGACTTCTAAGGCCCCGCAGGCTACAATGGGGGAAAGCGAGCGCTGCGGCTTGGATGGGCTAGGGGGTCCAGCATGTACTGCGGCCAGGACAGACTTGGGAAATGGCCGTTTATGAAATTGCACATTTGGGAAAGTACCCTAAAATTTTAGATATAATCCTTTCCAAAGAAACGCGAGGTATTCTGTGTTATCGTTTTTAAGACTAGAGAGCAAATAGATTCTAGTACAATAGATGGCAACGTAGAATTTGTACACTCTCAGTACAGCTGTATTCTGAAGTCACAAGTGTCAACTCTGTTTTTGTGTCCGACAAAATTATTAATAATAGTGATAATTTTAGAATAAATTGCTTATCTTACATTAAAATAAGTGCAATTTTTTTTATTTCTGTTTTTCACACTTTTTTATTAAATCTTGGAAAGAATGTCAGCTAATGTGAGAAAATCTCAATTTCTTATATATTTGACATTTGTGACGTCGTTTATGATTGGTCCATTGCTCTGTTGCCACCTATTATTAATCTATTTGCTAGAGAGTACAATAGTACTGTTGTTTTCATCATTAATAGCACAAATCATTTAGATGTCACTGAAATTCAAACGTTGTTGACTATTTTATTGTAAAACATTAGAAGAATAATTATTACATACATATACTTTTGAATTCATGCAAAGTTCATAAACTGCCCACTGAGCAAAAATTTATTCAAGGAATTGAGTCTTTCCCACAAACTCAAATTTTTTAATCCCTATATCTTTGCAAGCCTTTGATATTTCAAACTTAGTTAATTTGACCCAACATAATTCATAGTTTGAAATATCTAAGGTCTGCAACATTCGAATGCAGAGATATGTGAATTAAAAAATCAGAGTTTATGCCAAAGACTAAATTCCTTTAAACGATAATTTTTTTTGTATATATTTTAAACCATGTATTCTAGTTTCTAACTAAATCTTACCAATTGAAGATGATGCCGAAGAATATTCTTCCATTTTATATTTTCCTTTTATTAATTGCTCTTTGTTATCTCCAGCATTTCACAATAATCTTCTTAATCAAGCAGTTCTCTACTTTTATTACAGGTTTTCAGGTTTTCAGTTCAGGGAAATACTTTGATAACAGTTCTTTTATACCTGGATATCACTAGATATATACCTGGATATCACTAGATATATTCCAGATTCTAAAAATTCTTCTTTCTGGTTCCTGATATAATTCCTGGTTCTTGATATATCCCTAGTTCCTGATATATCTCCTGGCTATATCTCCTGGTTCCTGATATATCTCCTGGTTCCTGATATAATTCCTGGTTCCTGATATATATCCTGGCTATATCTCTTGGTTCCTGATATATCTCCTGGTTCCTGATATATCTCCTGGTTCCTGATATAATTCCTGGTTCCTGATATATCTCTGGTTCCTGATATATCTCCTGGTTATATCTCTTGGTTCCTGATATATTTCCTGGTTCCTGATATATCTCCTGGTTCCTGATATATCTCCTGGTTCCTGATATATCTCGTGATTCGGGTATATCTTCTGGTTCCTGTTTGGTATCCTGGTTTCTGATCTCCTAGTTCCTGATATATATATCTCCTGGTTCCTGATAAATCTCCTGGTTCTTTACATATCTACTGGTTTCGGATATATCCCATTGGTTCCTGCGATATATCTCCTGGTATTTAATATACCTCTTAGTTCCTGAACTATCTTCTGGTTCCTGAACTATCTTCTGGTTCCTGAACTATCTTCTGGTTCCTGATTTATCTCCTGGTTCCTGATATATCTTTTGGTTCCTTCTATATCTCCTGGTTCCTAATATATCTCCTGGTTTCTGATATATCCCCTGGTTCCTGATATATCCCCTGGTTCCTGATTTATCTCCTGGTTCCTGATATATCCCTTGGTTCTTGTTACATCTCCTGGTTCCTGATATATCTCCACGGATCAGGGGTTAGATATGAAGTGGGGGTGAGGTCTAATGCTCTCTGGTTTCTACTTCTACTGTTCACCAGGCAGACCCTCCCACAAACGTCAAACAGGGGCGTAATATAACATTCTCGTAAAGGAGGGGGGGGGGAAGTATTTATTTAGTCTAATATAAATCAAGATTAATACAAAAATGAAATTTCCTGTCAACCGTTAAAAATAAAATAATTTTAAAAACAGGTAAAACAAATTTTAAGTTTTCTCCCCTGATGGCGTTGGTTTGTGGTTGCAGATCTGACTCCTAACTTGACATCCTCTCATTGGCCTCTCGACTCACCATCTCTCCTCGGATTGGTCTCGAGGACCCGACTCTGTTCCGTGATTGGTCGGAGCGTGGGAATGTGAGCTCTGATTGGTTGTTGAGAGGAGCTCCGCCCTGTAACCTGGATTTGAACCTCCGAACTCCGGTATGTGAGGTTGTTTGAATATATTTAAGCTGAGGATTAAGGGAATTGGAATAAGAACTGAGTGTGCAAACTCTTTAGAAACAAATTAATCGGAAAATTTGACTAAAATCCTTCAGAACCTAGAATAATCTTTTCTCCTTCAGACAAACTGTATTTTCTAAACTAATCCCCTCTTTCAAGAATAGTTTTCAGAAAAATCTTATAAACTACATTTATCAATACATGTATGCAGTATGTAATTGTACTATGTACATATACAGGGTTGATCACAATTGATATTTCTAAACTAATCCCCTCTTTCAAGAATAGTTTTCAGAAAAATCTTATAAACTACATTTATCAATACATGTATGCAGTATGTAATTGTACAATGTACATATACAGGGTTGATCACAATGGATGATTCTTGAAAGACGACTGTACGGAATTGGTTCTGTCCGTTTTTATATTCGCGATTCCCTCTGTGGCGGTAAACTTGTTTCTTTCTTTGCAAAATCAGTATATAAGCCATTGATAGACTGGACTTAAGTCAGACGACCTTAGAATCGTCATATTTAACAAGTTTTAGATCGCCTATATAGTCTCATCCTTATTTGGTAACCCTGTATATTGCGTAAACATATATACGTGTCTGGTCTGCCTGCTTGTTTGTTTGTATCCAGTAAATGTAAAAACGGCAGCTGCAGAAACGAGTTGTTACCCACATTCTTGATAGAGTTTACGTATAGTCTGAATTGAAAAGTTAGTCAAAATCAATAAAAAAGTTGAAATTCATCAAGAAATGCAGAAAACTGTGCAAAATCATTAAGCAGAGAACCTATTTGCAAAAAAACTATGCGAAGTTTGCCAATAATTTCTAGGAAACTAAAAACAAAAGTGATTTCTAGTTCTAAATTTTAAATGTCTAGGGCTACAAAAGATATAAGCAAGTTAGCGAGGTCAAATCAAAGGTCAAGGCCTTGGGACACTTTAAGCCGACTTAGACTTGAAAATGTATGCAACTTGGCAAACCAGTCTTAATCTATGTGAGTACACTAGGTGGCAATGGGGAATACTCAAAGACGGTAGAATAGTAGAAGATAGGGCATTAGGAATTTATCCGAATAGTGTGTACACTCTGTACACTTTTATATGACGACATTGGCTGCAGTATTGGTTTAAAATTCAAACAATAAACATTTAGAACTCTAGTTATCAAATAAATTAATCATTGTAGGTGCTAAAAATGGTGGGAAAATAACGACACGGTGATAAACTTCTAAAGTTGTTTTAATCAGTAATAGAACAGAATGCCCTCCTGCTAAAATAAAGCTAAAATTGTGATTTTGTTACGCATCTCATTTGTATGAAAAATACCACATATGTTAAAACAAAATTTGTCAAAAGATGTCATTAAGTATAGTTTTGTAATAGTCTAAAGCAAAATTTTAGGCCAGTAGCGTGAGACCGAAAATACCTTGGGTTTAATTAGCCTAATTTTGTTTAAACAATTATATTGCAATCTGTTTCAAGATAAAGTGTATCTAAAAAGATATGCGTTTCTAACGGCAAATTACGTAAAAAAAATGCAAATTGTTGGTGATGAAAATGCTTAAAAAGGACTAAAATCTTTTTAGATTATAGAAAAGACGACATTCTATAGCTTTTTATTGAACCCAATTGAGGCGTCAAGTTTTGCGTATAAATCTCAATGCCTATACTCATTATGTTACAAAGCTCTTCGGGGAATACTTATTAACATTCAGTATGGAATATTTAAAATCACGTTTGTTATCTTATCTGAAAATATAGAGGGTGAACTAGCCACTTTATAATTATAATTTTATAAATTTATAAGTTTCCTTTTGCTTAATAAAGTATTTGAGAAGTAACATTCAGTACAGCTGAACTTTACGTCACATAGCGACATATACATTTTCAGTGGCAAACAAATATTCAAGGGCCGGCGGTGAGAAATTTAGACAGTTTCAAACAATTTAGAAATGAGTGCAGTTTTATGTGTTCTTTTTTTACTTTGTCTGTTTTATTTTAAATCCTCTACTACACAGCTTGTTCCTAGTATTTGATTTTAGATTTTTTTAAAATAATTTTCGAATTCATTCAGATTTTTGCTTTTTTGTGCTAATCAAATCATTAATGTGAGCCAAAAGAAAAAACGGGTAAAACACTGAATTCAAAAACTTTAAATTCTTAAAAATCCCTTGAAAATTAATCAAATTATAAGCCAAAAACCTTTTTTTGAAAAACTATAAGACAATTTTTGAAAAATCAAAAAAACTGACAATTATTCAGCGGGTAAAGAATAATCTTTATTATATATCAACATGTTTTGGAAAAAATTTTGTTTCTTTCGTAACTGTTGCTATTTGCGACTGTATAATATGTTGCTGGTGCAAACAGGATTTGACATATTCGATGAAACAGTTTCAACATTAATTTAATAGTAGAGATACTGCCTTCGAATCCAAATAGATTATCAAGTACAATAGGTGGCAACAGAGAAATGGACAAATTATACGAGCACAACTCATAAGTGTCAAATATATCAAGGAAAAAGAAATTTTCTCCCATCATTTGACATGTTGTCCAAGATTAAATAAAAAAAGTGTAAAAACAGAAAAAAAGAGAACACAAAATTTCACTTTTACCGTAAAATTATTCCAAAATTATCATTATTATTAATAATTTTGCAGGAAACAAAATCAAAGTTGACACTTATGGCGTAAAAATACAGCTGTACTGAGAGTGCACACATTCTACGTTGCAATCTATTGTACTAGAATCTATTTGCTGTCTTCCATTACCGACAAAACATCTACACCTTCCTCTAAAATTCTGAAATTGCCTTTCCTTCCTCCGGTATGCTGCCTCTCCATCCTCGTATAATTCTGTATCTAGTCTGTAGGTTGCCTCTATTCTTCTTCTTATTGGAACTAAAGCTGTTTTCTGAGTGAAGATGTCCCGGGGGAGGGAGGAGGGATCTCAGGGATAGGATTTATCAGATTTATTATTGTTATTCTATCATCTTCATCCGTAATTGTATACGCTCACACCACACAGCCAGAAACTTAAAACAGAGTATCGTTTAACGAGTTACGTTCAACGATACTCTCTCAAATTTCAGACTCAGTGCTTGTACCGATACCCTTCAGGACAGTTTCCTCTCTCCTCCTCCCTATGTTAAGGATCGTTAAAGAGGGGTCGTCTTAACACGATCGTAAACAAAGGCTCATTGTTAACGATTTTTATGGAAGGGTCGTCGGTAACGATCGCTAACAAAACGACAAACTTTATAAAATGGTATTTTTAAAAAGCGATTTAAAAAGGGTCGTTTTCTAAAACGATGGTTTCGTTTTTCGTTTTCCTTCTTCTTCGTTTTCATAACGAAACGATCGTTTGTCAAAAAGGATGAAACTAATCCATCCCTACTTGCATTCAATTAGTTATTTGTAACAATTAGTTTAATATTTGCAACAGTACATATATGGCTAATTATTTGTAAATGTATAACGTATAACTTTTTATTTTTAACGAATTTTTTTGACATCCACATGATTTGTGCAGTTAGCGTGATTTTTAACTTCTCTAAGATGGAACTTTCCTCATAGGTTCGAAATATCTCACATTATCTCATTATACCTCATTATCTTACAGTTCGATATGTCTCACATTTTATTAAGACTGCTCATGCTCCTTCATCTTCATCTTCACTTCTCTTCATCTTGCAGTTCGAAATATCTCTTAGTAACTTCACTATTCAGAACAGTCTAATGGTCCACACTTGCACCTTAAATACAGGGTGTCCCACGAAACATTACAGTCAGTGTATAGTTTAAAATATCTCTTAGTAACTTCACTATTCAGAACAGTCTAATGGTCCACACTTGCACCTTAAATACAGGTTGTCCCACGAAACATTACAGTCAGTGTATAGTTTAAAATATCTCTTAGTAACTTAACTATTCAGAACAGTCTAATGGTTCACACTTGCACCTTAAATACAGGTTGTCCCAAGCAACATTACAGTCAGTGTATAGTTTAAAATGTCTTTATTATTCATAATTTGTTAAGTTGTTTGATACCAAGGAAAATAATAAAAAGCATTATATGGCAGTCATATTAAAGTAAAACTGAATGAACTGCGAAAAATCTTTATACAGTTACAGTTTATGGAAGAAGACATTCAAAACTATTCACCAACTGTCTTGTTTCGTGGGACACTCTGTATATCTCACATAACTGACCCACCATTTATAGAGTGTACATCATGTCCGATTCATCACAATAACCTTTAAACCTTTACCTGGTTAAAGATGAATGAAATATTCTCCTTTAATTCTCGAAAACTTGATTAATTTCAATTGTTGTTTCTTTATAAAAGTGACTTTTTTTAGAATTCGCCATGTTTTAAGATAGAAAACGATAATACCTTGCTCTTTGTGACCCGAATATGGATTTAATGATTACCACTGTATCCCTCTTTAAACTAGTCCTCCAAAAATTCATAGGTACACTTTATTACCTTGCCTAGTACAGGGTGTCCCAAAAAACATGGGAATTCAGTGACGAATTCGATATCGTCTTTTCAAATAATTCTTTGATTTAGTGTAGTGATACCTACTGAGAAAGCTGTAATCTGTAAGAGTTTCGTCTGCTATGTTTACATTTTGTTTGTTTATGTTTTGACTGCATACAGTTGTACTTAGTAAAACAAGAACATTGCAGTATACAAACAGAGTAAACTTGTCTGTCTTCACTGTTCATCTTGCGGAGACATTATAGACACATCTTTACAGTCTTTTACCCTTTTCATAAAATAAGCTCTTGCAGACATAATAATATTATGGCTTTTGAAATTAGGTATTACAATGCTAATTCATAACAAAGACGATATCAAATTCGTCACTGAATTCCCATGTTTTTGGGACACCCTGTATAATATTGACCTGAACTCCAGTAGTTAATACACATTAGTACTGCATTAACTTGCCGAGTACAATATTGAACTGAACTCCAGTAGTTAATACACAGCTGTACTTTATTACCTTGCCTAGTATAATATTGAACTGAACTCCAGTAGTTAATACAAATTAGTACTTCATTACCTTGCCGAGTACAATATTGAACTGAACTCCAGTAGTTAATACACATTATTAGTACTTCATTATCTTGCCGAGTACAAAATTGAACTGAACTCCAGTAGTTAATACACATTAATTTTTTTCTTAAAAACTATTTCTTATCAACCGATGTTAGTACTAAAT